TGGGTTTGTGATTTTTGTTGGACCTGAATTACAAACGTTGTGGATAAGACACCAGGACATGTTTTACAATGACAAAAAAAATAAAAAAATAAAATAAAAAAGAAACCCATTGTACTTTAAATAAACATGAAAGACTTTTTACGTGTCAGAAAGAATAACAATAGTCTTGAAAAATTCACAAATTTAGTCTATGAGGAACCAGAAGTCACAGAACTATTCGTAGAATCTGAAAGCCCAGAACAGACAGGACCTTTCGATTGGAAAAAATAAATAAAAAATAAAAAAAATCCTACACAAGTGTTTCAGTGATCTCACTGGTTATGATCAACAACCTGAATATATAGAATCTAATTAGTTATGCAATAATTATGCACCACCCTGCCGAACCCTGGAGATGATGGTTTTTACAACCCTTCATTATTTAGATACTGCTGAGGAATTAACATTATCTTGGTGGAGTTATTCATTAATCCAAAAATATTCTCTCCAGACCTCTCTTTAATTGTCTTTTCATCAAATGTAAATTAGATGATCCCCAACTGCAATAAATTATTAAAGGGTATGAATGAAAAATTCAAAGATTTAAGCACTTCTCTTCTTAATATATGCTGAACTCTGATACTACATGGTTTTTGTTCTAGTCTGTCATGCATTCATTTATAAATACTTTTACATTCAGCTTCATTTAGAGGTGAATTATCAGTCAGGTAGTGTAAACATATCATCAGTTAATTTCAAAACACTATGTTGTCTATATCAATATGGCCAAGCTAAACTCCATCTCTTATCCAATAGATTTGAAGTGGGTTTTTTTTCCTCCCACTTAAGGTAGATCTTTGTGTATCATACGTAAGTGGATGCCATTTTCCAAGACAACACCACTTATTTCCATAGGAAGTTGCTAAATTGCCAGAAAAAAATCCTGTGAAGACATACCCTGCTGTTCAGGTATAAAGGTCAGTGATCAGATTCTTAAAGGGTGCGACCAGTAATGTCTTACTATTACTGGTGCTGGAGGTTGAGTCACCATCTTCTGTGGATAGGACGATCAGCCTAGAATCCCACTTCTGACACCATGTTTGTTTTGGAAATTTTTCAGCTTTCTTTCAGCAACAGAGTTTAATAACAGAGCTCATTAAAAGACCTTAAGTTAAAAAGTAGTCTTTATGTATTTTATTATATTCTTATAAGAATAGGGAGATAGCTCAGACCAAGGTGCACACTGAGGCAGTCTTGGGCGTGTTCTTTTATCTAACACAGCATCCTACTCTACTTCAGACATCAGAACATTCATTTATTGGATTTCACTTTGGCATATGATTACATGTCATTATCAATCTGTCTACTCTGCACAACACCCCAGCTCTCCATAACTTCTTTATCTACCCCAGAACGGGGTGTCTGCAACAAGACACAATTCTTTGGCCATGAGACAAAAACATCTTGTACAAGAGTTTTCTGCCAAGAGACACGAGATACAAGGACACTTAGTGTTCATACAAAGGACTCTAAGTAATTTTCCATCTCAGTGTCTCTTCACTGTTCTGTTGTGCTTATATGAGCTGAACTGGATCATCACGTGTGTCGTTTGGTTAGGTGCTTTGTAGGATTAGAATTACTTGTCTTGGTGGTGGACGAAGTTTTCTTTCCTACACATGAGTCATCATCACTATATACTACATACTATACTATACTATCTCTATAAACTTTGCTTTACTTGAAGTGGGGGGACAGGAGAGCGACAGAATGTCTGAACAATCATCAGCCTGTGCGTGTTAACTGAGAGTAATCTTTTTTTCTACAGGATGTTACTGAGCTGATGTAGGTGAGACTCCCCTGCTGAGTAGGGTGACTAATGTTTAGTAGTTGTTCTATATTTGACCCAAAATACTGAGTGAATGGTTCTTATCATTTCATGTCATAATAATAGTGTCCGTGTTCATAAGCATGTCCACCTCTGCTATGGTAGGTGGTGACGTCCTGCCTTTCAGCTCATTACAACTTGTTTTTCTGCATAGATTGTCTCCCAGTTGGCCTTTTGCACATGAAAACAGTCAGCAAAATATGCTAGGAAGAGGTTAGTGGGATGTACATCAACAATAAAAACACTGCTTGTTTGTCCTCTCTTTGTCAATCAAGGTTTTGTTTAATGCCTGGTTTCCTAGCAACGGATTCATGCTGTTTGACTTCCAACTGAAAGCCCGGCAAACACTAAAACATGAGCAGAATGCTCGAGCCAGTCTCAGTGTGATTGAGCCATAAACATGACAGGGAAAACACCGAAAACACAGTGTTATTGGTGAGAGAGATGTGTTTTTTTTCCTCAGCGTGCATGCTACTTTCTGTTGCTATTTTTGTTGCTATACCCTTCATCACATGCTGCATTACATTGATTGGTTGCAGGTCTGTTTGGTTACTTTGTTTCTTACTGTTGCTGAAAAACAGAACAAATTGTACAGTTTAAGACCTATGCGTCATGCTAATCTGGTATGGTGATGCCGATTGACAGCACAATAAAGAGTCTTTTCTGCAATCTTGTGCATGTTAATTGTTCTGTACTTTCCTGTGTCTGTGTCTTTAATTCTCTGCTTCTTGGTGCTATTATAATAAGCATACTGGACACAGAAATCCTGCATCTGTAGGTGTGCAGTGATAAGCCACCTGTCCTTCTAAATAGATCATGCAGAGCTTTTAGTCAAACTGCTCAGGTATGATGGAAACAAAGGGTTATGATTGGGTCAAAATATACTTGAGTCTGAAACTTCAGTGCTGGATTAAAGTGGGAGATGAATTCAAAGGGTCTCACCTTCTCACTTACATTATGTAAAATCACAAGGTCAGATCCCTGAGTGAGGTGTTTGGCTACAAACTGTCCCACATTCACCCATCTGCCATTTACAGGCACAATTCAAGACCAGAGTACTTAGAGCTAAAAATTTGGTCTCAAAGCCTGTTCATGTCCATGAAACACTTGCTGAAATATTTGGGACATTTTTCTTGCTCCAAGGTATCTGCTATTTCTAATGAGGAATTTAAAATTTGATAGTTGGAGTCATAAAAATCACACAATTTGACTTAAATAAGCAAGTCAAACTGGCAAAAGTATAAGTTAGGTATGAATACATAAGAACGTTTGTCAGGATTCAGACATCTCTATATATCTATATATGTCAATTGTTTTTAATTCTTCAAATAAACAAACTCAGGACTATGAAGGAAGATCAACACTGTGATCTCAATATTAAACTCCGCCTTGTGCCCTTACAATGATCATTCTGGCCTTTTAGTCCTTGAGCCGGACCACATGTCGGTACCACTTGGGTGGGCAAAACCTTACATATACTAAATTGTTTTTAGGGTCAATATAAGTAAATTAAAATATGATAGACTTTTCATAGGGGTAGCTTTTTATATTTTTTCTCATTTTGTTATTTTCCTCAATAAGCGAATTTTTGTTAACTCCAAAAGCAACACAGAAAGTCAAAAGTACATTAAAAGTCATTCTCTTTTTGGGTCACACTGCTCTTTTCTATAAATGAATCAAACCTGTGTCTAATTAAATGAGTTGATGAAGTGGGTGTGGCCCAATTTGATGGTGGAGCAGTTCTTTCAGGTATCATAGTACTTTTTAAGTTTAGTTTTTTTTTTTTAAGTTTTTATATGATAGACCTTGGTAACTGGTAGCTCTATTGTAGTTATCACTCATTAAAGTAATAGAGTGCAGCTGTTCAAGAACGAAAAATCGCCTTCCTTCAAAATTAGCTTTCTTTCATTTTAACCTCTCATTTAGGTGTGTTTGAACTATTGGCTAGCCATAGAGACTTGTATTAACCCCCTAAGTAGTATTTCAAGTAATTTATCTAATACAGGTGTGTATATATAAGCTTCAATTAGCCAATTGTCAGGTCTAAATCAAGGTCTAAATTAAGGATATTTTTTGACTTAGAAGTAGAAGTAAAGTAAATGCAGACTAATAGCATTATAATAACACAACCTTAATATGACACTGACATATTTTAAATGCAGGCACTCATTATACAATCCTCCTGGCTGGTGCAGGGCAAGAAGACATTAGCAACAAAATAAGATCTACTGATGTATACACTCTTTACAATCATCTGAGAAAAACTCCATTCCTCCACCAAGAACTTGATGAGACTGGCTTTGTTGGCAGGGCTGCAGAGAAGTTTCCTCCACTGCTGAATATTGTGGACAGAAGCAATGTTTCTGAACTGGATCCCCATGTCTGCACCTCTGTTTAGTCTTTCTGAATTTTTGATTGACATGTCCTTGTAAACGTCAAAGACAACATCAATCCTTTCACTATCACCACCTTCATGCAGGACCTTGGCTAAAGTTGAGTCCAGCCAGCTTCCACCATGTCAGGATTGCCTATTAATGCATTCGATTCATGCCAACTACCAGGCTGCTATCTGGAGACGGTCTCTTCATACCAAGCCATCTGTACCAAGCCCCAAGGACCATGGGTGGACCATAAATGACGAAGGGCAGCTGGAAATACAGTGGATGCATGGTTCCCCAGCACCAGATGCGGTCTTGCAGTTGCTATCCTGCAAGTGTGTGAGGACATGCAAACCACCAGACTGCACCTGTCTCAGAAATGGGCTGAAGTGCACAAACCTGTGCAAATTACAAACTTGTGCCTACCAATACAGTGAGGAAGAGCCCCTTGCACGCCGGCAGATTCAGATGTAGAAGAAGATACAGATACTGATGTCGATTACTGATGTTGATTAATAAGTGATGACCAAAAGGAGCTATGTTAACAGACCCACTGTGACTCAGTGACAGTATTATGTACTAAGCCAAAACTTGACTTGTCATATTTGCTGTCACTGTTCCTTATGGAAAGAATAGGACTTTGAATAGGAATTTGACTTTTTCTCAGATGATTGTATAGAGTGTATACATCAGTAGATCTTATTTTGTTGCTAATGTCTTCTTGCCCTGTACCAGCCAGGATGATTGTTAATTGAGTGCCTGCATTTAAAATATGTCAGTGTCATATTAAAGTTGTGTTATTATGATGCTATTAGTCTGCATTTATTTTACTTCTACTTCTAAGTCAAAAAATATCCTTAATTTAGACCTTGATTTAGACCTGACAATTGGCTAATTGAAGCTTATATATACACACCTGTATTAGATAAAATACTTGAAATACTACTTAGGGGGTTATTACAAGTCTCTATGGCTAGTCAATAGTTCAAACACACCGAAATGAGAGGTTAAAATGAAAGAAAGCTAATTTTGAAGGAAGGCGATTTTTCATTTTTGAACAGCTGCACTCTATTACTTCAATGAGTGATAACTACAATAAAGCTACCAGTTACCAAGGTCTATCATATAAAAACTTATTGTAGGGATGTATAGCAATAAAAAAATCCCAACTAGAATTTGCCCACCCAGGTGGTACCGATATGTGAAATTTTGGTTCTTGGCTCAAGGACTAATAGAAATAACAGATGACTTTAATCTATACTCCTGTATTTGTTTTCATAGAGAGAGGATAATTAACTCTGCACAATACATCAGTTGGATCAGTGTATGTCAGGGCTGATGTCATGCCTCAATGTTGCCAGTGTTATTTTGTACTAGCTGTAGATTAATTATCACCAGTTTATTATGCTTTGACATGTTTTACACAGAACATAATCCCCCCCCCCCCCCCGCTTGCGATATTAACATGTAGTTACTGTAAGACTGGTTTGTGCTCAAGTCCTCTTTATTTTCTGTACAGCTCCATTTTTTTCAAAGTTATTAGGGGGTTAATGTTTTCTATGACTGACACTCGATACAGTCTTTGGGTGTATAAGGGTTGCGTAGCTCACCCAGGGGATATGCTGTTTGAGCTGAGCGTCATCACAGTGACTCTCGGTGACTCTCCCGCTGAATGCGCACCAACGCAAGTGGTGGAGTGCGTGCAATACTACTGCGCAATGTTAGTTTCAGGAAATGAAGAGAAAACGCAGAATTACCCAGCGCTTTTTGGCTTCAAATCCGTATACAGGCGGAAGGCGGAAACAAGTTGTCCATAGTATATACAGTCTATGGGCACAATTTACATAAAGCTGATGCAATGAGCCACTTTATTCTACAGGCTTTACCCAAATAAAAAATTAATTTGTGAGTAAATTTTTCAACCAACCATTTCAAATGTGCGAGCCTCACGTCTAACCCCAGTAAGCAGTGTAGTAACCTAACAGAAAATTTTTAACCTAAACAGAAATCCCTCTAAGATTCTAGAACAGTTTGAAATCTGGGCGTGGCACACATGTGACATCACAGTTTTAGAAGGCTAGAGAGAGGGTTATAACCCTGGAGTTTAATCATACTCTCACACTCACTCACTGTTCATGCAAGCTCTGTTTTCTTTGAGACATTGCAGTGTTTTTCAATCTTCTACTGAGAAAATGGCACATAACGTCAACGCGACAGGCGACCATCAAGATGATTTTGAGGATTTTGCAGTGATTAGTATTGTTGGTGAAAATGGTGACCACCCAGATTTTTCTGTTTTTTTACAACCGCTTGATCAGTGGCAGCTTAATTTCATTTTTCAAGACTCTGACTCAGAGAATTATGACCATGAGGATGCCATTGAGGAAGACCAGGGTGTGGATCAAGTCGCCCCACTCCCAGTATTAGAGAGGGATGATATTGAGGATGATGATTATAGTAGTAATGATTATACTGATAATGAGGACTACTACAATTTTTATGTCCCATCCCCTGGCAAATCGAGCAAAAGACATCGTGAGGATGAAGACGATGATATTGACGATGATGAGTATAGCGATAATGAGGACTACTACGATTTTTACGTCCAATCGCCTGGAAGGTCCAGAAAAAGACGTCGTGAGGACAATGATGATGTAAGTAACTATACTTTATTTATATATAGCAACTTTTACAGACAGAAACTCACAAAGTGCTTTACATAAACGAAAAGTAAAAATGTACATATTAAATTTCCAAAATTTTAAAGGCCAAGACAACAACATTAACAATCATAGCAGCCCCAAAACATTGAACAAAAGCTTGTGCAAATAATTATGTCTTGATTTGGCTTTTAAAGGAGGATGATAGCGATGAAGATGGCTTCTCACAGCCTGGTGGCCTAAAAAGAAGGCGGATGTGAGGATGATGGCGTAGATGTTACTTCTGCCCCCCCCCCCCCTCTCTTTCTCATACCCCTGTCTTCCCTCCCTTCCTCCCTCCCTCCGTGTTTCTCCCCAACCCAGCTGCAGTGGGTGGCTGTCTGACATGAGTCTGGTCCTGCTCAAGGTTTCTGCCTGTAAAAGGGAAGTTTTTCCTTGCCACTGTCACTCATGTCCGATGAGATGGGTCAAATCTGTCCCACCTTAAGGTTGGGTCTTTGTAATTCATCAAACAATGAGCGTGGTCTAGACCTCACTGTTGTGATTTGGCAATATATTAATAAAATTTAATTGATCGATTAATTGATTGATTGATTGATTGATTGATTGATTGATGATGATGATGATGAAGAAGAAGACAACAATGTTGAAGTCTCACTGCCTGGTGGATCTAAAAAAAAAGGCGACGTGAGGAGGATGACAATGAGTTTTATCTGTGTGCTACAGTTTCCACACAATACAAAATAAAACTATTAAATTGTAACTTTAAGTAAATGCTCATATTTTGACTTTGATATTTAATATCTCCTTTTTGGAAAACCAGAGTGTGATAATATGTTTTTAAAAATCATCAAATATCACCTATGAAAACAGTCAAGTTGTAAGAGTGTGTTCGACATGTAAAATAAGTCCAAGGATCTCTCAGTTTGGATTTGAAACAGGTCCACTACTTTACTGGCATAATATCCTTAATTTAGACCTTGATTTAGACCTGACAATTGGCTAATTGAAGCTTATATATACACACCTGTATTAGATAAAATACTTGAAATACTACTTAGGGGGTTATTACAAGTCTCTATGGCTAGCCAATAGTTCAAACACACCTAAATGAGAGGTTAAAATGAAAGAAAGCTAATTTTGAAGGAAGGCGATTTTTGGTTTTTGAACAGCTGCACTCCATTACTTTAATGAGTGATAACTACAATAAAGCTACCAGTTACCAAGGTCTATCATATAAAAACTTATTGTAGGGATGTATAGCAATAAAAAAATCACAACTAGAATTTGCCCACCCAGGTGGTACCGATATGTGAAATTTTGGTCCTTGGCTCAAGTACTATTTAGGTTAAAGTCCCACTCCTACCTTTAATTTTTTTTTTTTTTATACTATTTAAAGTTCTATCAGTGGTCGTTAAATTGTGATTATGAAGTACTGAGCCAAAATCACTTTACCTGTGTCATTTTCAAGGGCTTTTCTTCTGCAGAGCTCCAGTAGCTCATTAACAATTTATGTCTGAGTCAAGGGCGGAGACAGTGCTGCTCTGCACACTCAATTTGAAGCTAGCTTGCAGCCGAATGTTGCCAGTGTAGGTACCAGATGTGTGCTGCCTGCCAGATAGGCTCGGGGCCCAGCTCCTGTTAAATTCGGACAAACTACATTGCACTCCATTTATTAAGTCAAATGTGCTCAGTCAACAGCCCCTCGTGGTTTTCTTTATTTCTGTTTGTTCACTTAATTGACCTTGAAACGTTGTCTCTATAATTCAGAGAATTACAACTTACTGTATCGTAATTTTTAAATGGCTTAAATTACACAGTATATGTTGACTTTTGTAAAGGAAAAAGAAAAAAAAGATGTACACAGGATTTCTGTTTATCAAAAAAATAGTTTTGCATTCACATTTCCTTTGGTAACCTAAAAGAGGTGGTAGTAAGTCATAAGTCCCCATTGATAAGTTGTGATAGATTGCTTCAAAAAATTCGGCCATGTTTTTTCTGCAGAACTACAATCCCATGAAACCTAATCCGGTGAAAACCGCTCGTGTAATGTCCAGACCAACCACAATCTTCTATGCCATCCGAACCAACTTCCAGCCAATCATGTAGCCTGACATCATTAATAGGCGCTGGGCCCAGAGCTGATCTGGCAGCCTGAACACATCAGGTATCTACATTGGTGCAGTAGAAGTGGCAGGTAATATAGGAACTATTCAGCTCTCAGACACTAAAGTCTTTGGAGACATGATGAAAGCTAATATCATGATTAGCTGTCTTACGAGCATTGAAATTTGCTAACGCACACGCTTGTTGCGTGATCATCTTCTTTACTTCTCAGGGTGTGGCATGCATAGCAGGGCTCGGGGGGTGGGGCTTGGAGTTGTGACCTAGGAAATCTCACTGTGTCTGAACCTGCCATTTGGGTCTGCTAGAGATTAAAAGTGGTTTGAAAGCAGAAAAACTCAGAAATGCAATTTCGCACTCAGTTTTCACGATATGTCCTGTAACATCAGAAAAATGCCAAATAAACATGTAGATGACAAGAAAAACATGACTTTCATCGGAGTGGGCCTTTAAGGGCACTTTCACATTATGTGATCCTTTTAAAAAATGCTCTGTGATTGGCAGGGCTCGGTGGGTGGGGCTTGGAGTTGTGACTGTAGCAATTTGAATTTATAAAAAAAGTCTGAAGATTAATAATCTCAAATTATGACATTTATGCACTCGTTGAAAAGGGCACCACCCACCCTTAATGGTGGGAAAATAAAGAAAAACTAAAGTTTAATTCAGAAATCAAACATGAAGTCAATCATTAATTAATCAGTCTCATATCTTAAGCCGAATTCTCATTTCGGGGACTCCACTTCTGGAAGAACACTAACAGACAAGAACTTACAGGATAATTACAGGATAAATGATGGTACAACATACATGCAATAAATGATAAGATAATGAGGATAAAATAATAATAGGTGAATAAATAAAGATTCTGAGTCAGGCTAGGAGCACTAAAGTTAATGATAGTGAGTGAATATGCTCTAACATATTAACCTACACTAACTTTGGTGTCGAGATAAATTTGGATGTGGATTTGGAGGAATCTAAGATTACTAGAATAAGTGGATATCTGAGTTATGAACACATGAGACAGCACCAGCCCTCTTTGGAGCTCTGGAGGTTTGCATACTTAAGTGAGACTCGTCCTTGGAGAAGATGGAGCAGGTTCCAAAGGTCCGGGGCTACCGGCGGTTCGAGCGGTTCGGCTCAGAAGATGACGGAAGTCAGCCGAAGGATGAGCCAGGAGTTGCAGCACTCGGGCCCCAAGCAAAGCCAGTCCTGTGGATTCCGTGGATGCTCGTTTGGACACTTCTTTGGTCTTACTCAAAAACTCTGGCACATAGGATGACCTGGGCCTGCTGGGTTGCGTTCAGAGGTGACTTTGAAATCACGCAGATAACTCAGAATAAAAAAGAGGCTCGATGACCAATGGAAACTTTCAAAAATGGCTTCGTGAAACTAAAGAAAAATCAATCAAAGGCTTAATCTTAAATTGCTATGTGCACAAAAAGTTGAAGTTTCAAAACTTGATCTAAGACGATGTTAAAGAAAAATCAATGTGAATCAACACGTGGCGTAACACTTAAAAGACTAAGAAAAAGAGCTAAGAGAAAACAAAGAAGAGGAACACAGAAGGGTGTGGACAGTGAGTGAAGAATCAGGTGTAAGAGAAAGAGGTACAAGAGTATAAGGGCAATGGAGTCAGTTTGAAAGGTAATAAAAACTCTGTCTCTGTTCTCTGAATTGACCAATCGTGAAGAGTCAGAGGTTTGGTCAACCTCCGGTCGGGTCACTTAGGTAACCTGAAAGTGCAAACAAGTCTGGAAAGATTTAAATCCTGTGTCCAGGGACCAGATAAGAAAACTTTCCTGCGAGGAATGTGTGAGTTTCACACCCAGGGTTGTCTTGACTGCTACATGACCTAGGAAATCTCACTGTGTCTGAACCTGCCGTTTGGGTCTGCTAGAGATTAAAAGTGGTTTGAAAGCAGAAAAACTCAGAAATGCAATTTCGCACTTAGTTTTCATGATATGTCCTGTAACATCAGAAAAATGCCATATAAATATGTAGATGACAAGAAAAACATGACTTTCATTGGAGTGGGCCTTTAAGGGCACTTTCACATTATGTGATCCTTTTAAAAAATACTCTGTGATTGGTTTGAATTTTTTTGCTATTTATGAGCACATGCATAATGTATGGGTATGCAACTTTGTGGTTTTGACCTGAGGAAAATATTTATGAAGTTGATCATTTTGAGGCACAAGTAAAACTTAAATGACTGTGCATATGAAACAATCACAGACTGGTGTGTCTTTGAAAGTTACTTTAAACAAAATAATAAATAAAACATGATTGAGAACAGTCACCAAGGTTCAGTGTGTACAAAATTAACATTTATACACTGAATACATGTTAATCAAGAGAAAAAGGGGTAAAACTACATCCATTAGACTTAGCCTCACTGCATCTCAACCCAACTTTAATGTATTCTATATTTTTTTTTTGTTTCCAAAGAACAAAACAGCAAATCTGTTTTCACCTGCAGCATGCTGATGGCTTAAAATATGAAAATAGTTGAGACAAACATTGTGACAGTTTTCTATTAGTGGCCCCACAAACCTACAAAAGATAGTAGTCAATAGTAAGGATTGAAAAAACAGCAAGTTAATGTACAGAAGGGACACAACATCCCTGTGCAGTGGATGGAGCCATAAATGATTCCATCAGGCGTAGCAGTCACTGTGTAAGAACATTTTGTGTAGCATCCCTCACCATTCGTGATGAATATAAGTGTGAGATGGAAAATGCATGTGTGTGTGTTTTTTTTTTTTTCTAGTGTATCATTCAGAAAACTGCAATCCTGTCATTGTAGTTTAATTCTGTAGAAATGACTGGAACATGCTGCCAACATCAGACTGTTTTCATATGAAGTGGCACAAATCAACAAAAACTACGATAACAGAGGTAGTATACCAAGTATGACGGGCATTGTAACAGTCATCTCTTTCTAACTTTACAAGCTAATAGCTCAGGTAGTTTTGAGGAATTTAGTTGTCAGGAGATTTAGAAAGTCACAACAACCAGAGACAGAGTTGACAGGAATGTTTTCCCACCTGGAGATGAGTTTCCCCAGTGACCATTCCCAACAGCAGAATTTAATTTGAGCAAATAGGACCCAGACAAAATACACACACACACACACACACACACACACACACACACACACACACACTGTGAGCTGTGTAGTCTTTGCAGAATGAGGATGGCAGGTCATTCTCTCTCTGGACTCCAGACAAAGCTTTTCCCAGGATACAAACATCCATTATCACCTGTGCGTCCCTGGCGGCCAATGGCGGGTACAGAGAGAACACGGGAGGATGCAGTCGCGCACTCACACAGACTGATAAACAGGAGGACATAAACTTTGTCTTAGACAAATAATGTGTCACTCAAACCAAAGCAGAAGACTGGAACGGTGAGCTTCATCTGGCAGAATGGAAAGATAATCCACTATTCATTTATTTGTCATGACTGTTGGAGCGAAGAAGAACTCTAATTCTGAGTGGTCAGTTTGTAGAGGAAATTCATTGTACTCACCTTTCATTACGTCAGTTTGGGTCACCTATAGAGAAACATAACATGATTTTCAGCTCAAAAACCTCCTTGTATATCTTATACTGAGTTAGAGACAAACCCTGTTCTAGCACGAGTTACCCCCAATTTTCACTGCATCCAGAACGGCTCTGATCAGGAATGTCAGCGATTTTTGCCGTCCACCGATTCCTACTGGATCCGTTTGTGAGATGAATTTTGTGTCAGATTACCAACAGCAGGAATCGTGGGAATTCACAAGAACCCGCGGATTCACATGCAATCGCGAGATTACAAGTTGTCTCTCGCCACATAGGCTAACCATATAAGCAGTAGATTGTGTCCCTCCAGAGGTGGAATTTTACTTCTAGTCTTCCAAAATCAGCATCCCCTCATCCATGGTGTCATCAGGATGAAATGCTGTCTAAAAACCTTTCACTTGCTTGCCCGTTTGCATGGTGTGAAATACGATCCGCCTGAAACATGGAGTGTTTTATTTTGAAAAGAAGCCGGATGTTTTATTTTGTGTCCTTTCCAGCATGGGTTAGTCTGTGCTGAATTTAACCGGCATGCTCTGGCGTCTGGAAAAAAATAGAACACTTGTGATCAGCTGTGGAGCCCAGCGATCCGCAGCAGAACAGAAAGAAGCCGGTGGAAATTTGACACATTAACTTGAATGGTTATGATCAGCTGCGATTGGCGGATACTGCCTTTTTGTAGCCATTCCAGATGCAGTGGAAATTGGGGGTTAGCCTCTGCCTGAAACGCTTCATGGTTTTCCATAGCTACAATGTCAGAAATATTTTTAGCTCTCATTTATTTGTGGTAACATGTCAGCTATTTCTTCTGTATCTGCTTTTATAATGTAACTGACAACTTGTGATTATCACAGCTGAGATGCAAATCCAGCTCATACTGGCTTTTAAAGATATGAAAACTTACCAGTGTTTTTTGGTGCCTTCATTATTGGAAAGAGATACTAGCTGTGACTGTCCTTTGAATCCAATACAAGACTTGGAAGCAATTTACTTTGACATACTGAAACAATGAAGAGCAGAGGAGGAAAGCTGAGCACTGAGATGGACTTTCTTGGGTTAGGGAAATGTTGAAAGCTCAGCCATGTTGGAGCTGCTGGGTGGATATATCCTCTAACATAGTCTCAACAGAACAGGAGAGCATGACACAAACATCCGTGTGTATTGAAATTTGCTGAGGTTCAGTATAAACATCCCACGATGTACTTTTTAACTAGAGATCAGGTCATGCGGTGCCTGTTACATAGTGTACACTGAAATAAAAATGCAAGACATATAAAATGAAGAAAATATGTAACACAAGACCTAAATTTAGTTCTAGTCAATAACCCTAGAATGACTGCAAACCAGAGAACTTTCGTCAAAAGTGCGAGAATTGCTGCTCAGTGTGGGTTGAAATGCAGAGAGTAAAGATGCATCCTCTCTCTGGCTTAAGGCAATTTGATTCAAGTTCTGAGGATTGGCACAAAAAAAAACAAAAAACAAAAAACTTTGTTTGTGCATTCAAAAAATATTGTAGAATCTTTTTTTTTTATTTTTTATATCATATAAGACTAATTCATTTATGAAGCACACTTCAGCAAAAAGCTAACTACACTGGACATAAACCAATGAAAGAAGACAATTAAAAAAGGCCCTACAACATTTATAAGACAAATTACAAACAGCAAAACAGAAGTGAGAACTTGGAGTGTTTTAAAATAGAGGTGTTAAAGTAACAGTGCAGATAACAGCCCTGACAGACTGACAGTATCAGCTCTTAAACAAACACAAACCTACACTCATGTAGGTCTGTCTTCTTTTTATTTGTCTGTCGCCCCTGACAACACTTTTGCTTAGACCGTAGACTTTTTCCTTTGGTCGCCTGTCAACATTCTGCATTTCAGAGTCTCCTATTCTGTCAGCTTGTTCTCTTATATTGGCACTAAAACACCTTTAAAAGAACCATAAGGGTCATTTTTAGCTGTCAGTAACTGGTCCAAATAAACTTTAGCTACTCTTGCCTTGACAGCTGTTTGACTAATGTTAATAATATCTAGGTATTTCTAATCCACTGTTGATGAGACTCCAAACTCCATACAGACTGCTGCATAATGGATTGCATAAACACTGCTGGTTTTTGGATGGCGATTTTCAATGAGGGTAGTAGTAGTAAAAGTAGTAGTTTATTTGTCCCACAGGGGAATTGAATTGCAGCAGATCACACATTTGGCATTTCATCAAGAACAGTACAGATAAAAAAATTATAAAAATAAAACAGCATGTAGACAACTTTCACACGTAATTAACAGTAAAAATAAGTAACATCATCATAATCACACTTCCTCAGTCTCAACTTTAACCTGATTAGACCAGCTGAGCAGACTGTAGGTGACTAACTATGGCTTTTTGGGTATTTAGGCATTTAATGGCCTGCGGCACAAAGGAATTATTTTTTTTTTGACAGCTGTGGGTTTGAGCTGTCCATGGGTCCTGAATTATTTGGCCTGATCAGTAGCTACAGATCAGGTGGAGACTGTGTCCAGACGGACATGGATCAGTAAAGATATGGTTAGTTCATCAGTTATCACTGGAATTTATCAACAGCTCTTCAATTTGTAAATATTGCAAGGTGGTCGTCACAATGTGCCTTACACTGTTCATGTAAACTTCCGCCAAATTCTGCTCCAGTTTAATTACAAACAGATGATACAGTTTGAAGATATGGTGCAGATTGGATTGATTAAAAATCTAATGATAGAGGATTACCTAGAAACCAAAATCCACCCATAAACATATGACATCCCTGTCATCCCTGTCCTTACATGTTACATAAACACAGAAAGTTACAGGAATTTAATAACTTAGTATTGTTTTATGAAAGTTTGAGCAGAATTCAGTACTCTTAAGAAATCATTTATTCACTTGATATGTAAGAAGTCACATCTTTTTTCCCTTCATATAAAAAAAAAAGAAAAAAAAAGAGCATAACATACCAAAAAGTCCCTGTGCTTCGAGCCAGATGTGCTTAATCTTGTAATTTAAAAACAGAGATTATAATTATTGTTCTTGCCCTGAATATTGTTGTTGGCTAAAACAGCACACCTCAGAAACAAGTCAAGAAATCAAAGCCAACTAGTATCACACACAAAAAAATAGAGATGTAAAGGTACACAAAAAATTAGTTCATATGGGATGCAAACCATGGACTGTATATAACTTGGCTCCACCTTCCGCTATTATAGGAATTTGAAGCTGAATTGCTCTTGGTATTTCCAGGATTTTCTCCACTTCCTGGAACCACCACTTGCATAGTAGCGTTGTACAAATTCCGTGGGAGAGTCACTGTAATGAGGCTCGGCTCAAACAGTGTATCCCCAGGGTGAGCTGCACAATCTTCATACGCCCAAAGGCTGTATTAAGTGTCTATCGTGGAAACATGAACCCCTTATAACTTTTAAAAATGGAGCTGCACAGAAAAAAAGAGGACTTCAGCACAAACCAGTCTTACAATAACTACATGTCAACATCACAACCGGGGGTCGGGGGATTTATACTCTGTGTAATTAATTTCTAAAGTTTGTCCACAGCGCCATCAGGATTGCTGGAGGAGGCAGGATTTATGACCTATACTGCAGCCCGTCAACAGAGGGTGCTGTTCTCACAGTGGCTTCACCCAGCGAGAAGGCAGACAGTGTACATACAGTCTATGATACAAACACAACACAAATAATCTCTCGTCCTTTTTAAAGAACTCACAGAACTTTCCTTTTACACGGTCTGAAGTGCAGCAGAGATAATTTAGCTTTACAGACTCCTTTTTTTTTTCATATGTTTAAGATTAAAAAAACAACAATTACAATCTATTAAATTAAAATTTGAGGTAGCATCAAGATAAACAGTTGGATTTAAGTGGAACTTAATTTAAGTCATGAACATTTTAGTCTTTACTTGTAGTCTCTTGTTCAACTCATTCATTCAGCTAATCATGAACTGTTTTTTCCTAACACTTAATCCTGTGTCTCTCCAACTTGAACTATGATGTCTGGACTCTCACAACAGTACAATGCTGATGTGCAGTCTTTGCACATTGATAAAAGTATTTATAGAGTGACATTTTCTCTTAGCCAAGATGAAAAAAAAAATCCAATAAAAATCATTTTTTGGCAGTGATGGAGTTTCAAGAAAAGGGCTGGATTGCACTTTCACAACAGTGCTGAACAGACTGTTCATGACACTCTGGACAGCATCTTCATCTTTGATAATTAAGAGATGAGCAAAACTATACAAAATATGCTATCTAACATTTTGTCAAACCAGGATAATCAAGGTTTTGACATGGAGTTATTAATGGCAAAAGCAGCAAGAAATAACAAATAAACAAAAATCATTAGCATCACTGAGAGGGATGCATGGAGGCAGTAAAAGATGTACCCACAACACACTTGTAGCAGACTGGTGACCCTCAGCTAACTCAGCCTGTCAGAGAAATTTATTGATTTTAATTTTCTCATGGATATAAACTGTTCATGCAGACCTGAAATGGCATGGACCTATTTGACCTGATGCCATTATGAAATGTAACTAAGCTCTTGATGTGGGGTCCTCAATCCAATAAAGTCCAGAGATGGCAGGAGCTGGATGAACTGGCTTGAGTTGCAGACACCTGATAACCACAGCCCCAAAGAAACGGCTAAGAAATATCAGGTTTTAAACAGGTGGTAATAAAAAAAACCTACAAAAAGTCAGCTCACATCAGAAACTCAGTTGTAAGTAGGGATGGGATCTACAACCAGGTTCAGTTAACCTTTTCAAAATCCACAAATCAATAACGTTTGAGCTATGGAGTCTGCTATTGAGTCTTGACGGTCCTTTGAAAAAGCGTTATACTCTGAGTATGAGTCATGTCGCTCCATGATGGAAAGGGGCCAATATTTCATGATCTTCACCTGCAGCTATAAAGAATACGCTGAAAATACAGCTGTACTCTCCTTACATCTGCAACACGCAAAGCTTGTTTTTAAAATACTACGACAACTACTACTAATAATAATGATGTTATAACGTGCTTAACATCTTATAACAGAGAACAGAATGATGATCGTTTACAAAGATGCACTTTGTTGATATTAAGACACTGTCATTTAAAATGCGTATTGTTGCCTCTGATTTCTCTTCAGAGATAAATGGTTGGCTCTGTCTCAGTCAACATACAGTCCATATTAATTATAATGACAGGAACAGATGTTCACTTGAGCTCAGTAATTAAAGAGGCGCCTTGCCAGTGGGCAGTTGCATAAGTGTGACTACATGCAGATATCTTGGTGGCCACATAATGTGTGTGTATTGTGAGTGTGTATATGTGTGTGTTTGTGTTAGCTAAGTGATTCATTAGCACCATGACAGGCTGGACAATTGCTATCACTGTCAGGAGCAGCAGATTGGTCACACTGAGGAGTAAAGTAAGTGCTCACACAAGCAGATGTATTCTTGAACTAAGTGCTCTAATTGACCACACACACTGGGAGGGAGTTAAACATCAGCAGGTGGAGACAGAGGCTGCATGCTCCAGGCTGCGTGTTGCTCAAACATACTGACATGTCCTTTGAACCTAATGGTTTATGGTATGCCTGACCTCTGTAGGTGTATTTACGGGATGCATGTGTGTCTGACATGAATAAAACAGTGGCAGGCTCATCAGTGTGTGTGTGTGTGTGTGTGTGTGTCTATGTGTCTGTGTGACATGGAAAAGTGCAGGATTAGAACGTTAAAGTACATGCAGTTCATGGGAAATTTGTTTGTTCGCTCAGGGCTCCAGGACAGCCACAGGAAATGTGAACTAGAGCCCACGCTGGCTGCATGGGTGGATGATGTCATTCACTTCATACACCCAGCCAGGCCTCCACTGGTTTATTCCATATGTGTCTGTCTGTGTGCAGCAACGTTGAGCTCGACTTTAATGGTTTTGGACATCAACCACACAGCATGAGACACTACCTGGAAGAGTAGGAACAAAGAAGCAACTCTAGGGTCCACTGCTAAACCACATCAGAAATACATTACGCCTCCGTGACTCGCTTGTGAAAGTACATTAGGAACAAAATATAACATGTGCTGTGCGTGGGCGAGACACCTGGATGTTCAAGAGCACCTTAACCCTTATTTTATTGCACAATTATGAGAGTAGTGGAAACCTAAAGCTGATTTCAACAAAATGGGACTGTTTTGTATAAATAGATTAAAAGCTCTTATTTTGGTTAATTTTTTTTCACAACTTAAACTTTCACGTGTTCTATTTGTTGGATGACAAGTAAAGTATTTCAAGCTTTTTTTGTCTTATTTGGACAATTTGGCTTATAACTTATGATAATTTAAAATCAAGGTTTCCACACAAGGTTCCCATTTTTTCATGAATTAGTCTGTAAGAGATGATAAAAGCTTCAGTACTTGAAAATGAAGTTACTGGTCCATTTATTTTGGACCTCCTGAATATCCTCTGTGAGGGAAAATAACAATTTTTTTTAATCTTACCACCCACATTTTTTATTCACCTGAGGGAATTAAACTTATCATACTTAACCAGCACTGTGCCTGCCATTTCAAACTCAACAAGTTTTCTTTGTCAGAGAAGATAAAACATTTTCTATCGTTTGACACAACAACAACAACAAAACTATTTTCAACAAATACACCAGTGTTAACTCCCTGCGATTCTGTGCCTTAGAGTGAGAGGCCTTAGAGAGTAATCAAACTCTCTTTCCTTTAACAAACATGGCTATTTTTAACGGCCTTGACTTGGCAAGTCCAAAGAAAGTTAACATGTGGGATTCACATTCTCTTTCAGAGATCAATGAAATTTCGGACATTTGGATTTACTGATGTTTGCTTTGTTTTTGTAAGAGCAGAAGTTTATTGAGTTCTCATTTTTATTGTATCTGCTCTAAACTGAGTTTTTGCTCATGTAATGATTTAAAATGAACAATTAATCTGTAAGATTAACAAGCTCACAATGACAATTTTCTGCCATCAGACAGATGCATAATTTACCTGCTCATCATCGTCTAAACACTCACACTTCAAAAAGAAGACAAAAAAAATGTCAGTAATAGAGAAGTCTGATCCATCCATCCCTCCATCTCTTTCACACATTCATTCAGGGTTGTTCTGCTTTCAAGGAGTTCTCTGTTGTCACTCGCAGAGTTCACCTTGGGGGTTAACTTCTTTGTTGTTGAAGACTTTGTCTAATAAAGTCATTTGATTGTCTAAATCATGTTTGATTTTTTCACATTATGAGGCAACCACACAAATTAGACTTTACAAGGTCACGCAAACAGAATCCAAAGAACTTGCCTTGTAGGCCTCAGCAAAACTATAAAGATTCAGGAATAGTGTTCTTCAGAATGGACTGATGTAGCCTGTTATTGTTTTTCGTCTTAGATTTGAAATTGTCTCTTCCTGTTGCTGTTTCATTGTTCCTGCTTTTATACCTCTACATAAAAACTACAGCTGAATGAGAGAGAGAGATGGTTAGATGTGTTTCCTACTAAATGAGACGTAGACCACCCAGGGGAAAAAGGAAAAGCAGCAACAGGCAGTCACACCACACAATACATCACAATGAATATTGTAATACACTCACCACTGCAGATCTGTTAAAGAGCGTGTGAGGCCAGAAAGTGCCTTCAGTAATTCAGTTTTTTAAGTTTTGCTTGACTTTGCAGTACTGCAGGACAAATCTAAGTCTTTGTGCTGCATAAAGATGCAAACCTTTCTGTGTAAAACCCTCAGTCATCATCTTCCCTGCCTTCCTTCTCCGCTGTGCATTATAGCCCACTGCTGATGAGAGCAGTCGGAGAGCGGGTCTCACTTTCTTTCTGCGACTTCTGCTTTGATAGTGCAATCCTTTCATCATCCTATTATTTCTTCTGAGTGGCTAATTAGGGTATTTGGAAATTTGTGCTTTGTCATATGCCCTTAATCCAAGAGAAAGGTGGAGAGAGAAGGAAATTTGATAGATAATTCACAGAGATTCTGAGAAGCTGATTTCTTTCATCGCCAAACCTGCTGGTCGAAATAGTCAGGACCTAAATGCAGATTTTAGACTAAACTGTTAAAATGTGCAAGTGAACAGAGGAAGTTAATAACTGTTGTCCATTACTCAGATTTTGGGTTTCGCTTATGCCAAGAAATCCTGGGTATAATCTGTGGTACCTACCCTCTTTTATTTGGATACCATTTGTGATGAGGCTATTATGTCTTAAGGTCACTTTCAGGACAACTTCCACCTTCAGAGAAGAGGATTGGTCTCAAAACTCTACATCAGTCCTTCCTGTCCTGAAGGGGTGCCTGTAGACCCAGCTGTTGTGGATTGGCTTCCCCTCCAGGGAAATCAAAGATTTAGACACAACACATCAAACATTGAAGAATATTTGATTGTATCACATTGTTTGTTTCCACAACTGACTGTACATAAAATGGGCAATGTCACTTTATTGCTGCAACATTTGCAATGATGACACTGTGCATGTGCAGAGGTACTTTGGCTGGTAGTGTCCTTCATGAGTCACTGGGAAAATAATTCCACAGTTTCAGTTGTTTTTTTTTAACCCAGTCCCTCTAGTGTTCAAAACTGATTTCCAAAGTCATGCTCCTCAGTAGGTAACAAGCTCTGTCTACTAAAGAATATTTCAAAACTTAAGTATCATGCGTCTTTAAACAATTCAGTTCATAAGAGTTATACATCTGCCTAACTTTTCAATTCCTTTCTGTCTAGATGTCACCACCGCTGTTTATCAAGACTTGCAAATCCTGCATTGACAATAAATAAGATTATTTCTCAGTGAGTCTGTTTTCAAAGTGTTGACTGTTTCCTCTTAAAGTATTCAGATATGTCCTTGTATTTCACAGGCAAGGACACTTAAAATCTTTGAGTATTCGCATTCAATCTTCAAAAGCACACTTACTTATACAACGTAGTATTGAGTACGAGGTAAGCTTTGAGTGGTGCAGGTTTTTGTGTTCAAGTGACTGCAATTGTTGTGACAAAAATAAAATGTTGGGAGCTAGGAGTGAAAGACTTCAATGAAAATGTAAACATGATGAGGTCAGGAAGTAAGTGAAGGAGGAAAAACTAACATAAAAGGAGCATCCTACAGCTTGAACTTTATGAACCATTACCACAAGTTTATTTCAATCTACGAATGTCTTACTAATCACCCCACTGTGCTAAATGCTGGGTTGTGATTGAACTCTTTATCTATTATTAATAACTCTAATAAAAAAAGTAACACCAGTTCATATAAAGAAGAAATCACATCATACATTTGCTTATAAATAACTGGCAAAAACATGGAAACAAGTTTCTATTAGCATCTGATGATCCAGATGCAGGAAAATGCAGTGTTACAAGGAGTTTTTCAATAGGAGATATGGACTGGATCCTTTTTGTGACTCGCCCCAAATCAGCCCTTAGGTCACCCGGCAGCTCAAAAATTGAATTTTTTTTTACTACTACTCTTCTATTTTAATTTCTCCCAGTCTAGATACGTTGATACGCACACAAAAAACTCTTTACCCTCTTCGTCTATCATTGCACTTTTGCCTCCTCCTCGCCACAATGACCGCAGCAATTTGTACCCAATTCTGTGCTGGTTTGCACGTGCCTTTCCAACATTCCAATTTTAGGTTTGATAAATCATATCGCTAGTGCTAAATGATTCCATTTGCATCTCCTCCTGCACCTCCTCCTCCCAGTATTTTGCGTGTTTTCATAATCTGTATACATTCTGCATATTCATGAAGGCAAACATGCTAAATGCATTGCGCGTGCTGTTTCACTCATTCGACAGACGCAATCCTCATTGAACATGTTTAGTAGATCAGCTTGCACATGCTATTGAGTTTGCAAACAACAATGCTGTACACCCACATGCACACAAGCACACACAATTACCAACTTGGGGGTGAGTAATATTTGTTTAATAGCCAAGATCTGGAAACTTGATATGCTTGAGTTTACATCTGTACTGAGAGTTGCTGCTGCTGACATGCTCCATTGGCTATCACTTTAACTGAATGAGGTAAAATGAGGAGGTAAAGGTCAACATATGGAAAGGCTTCACTGAAGGAGTTTAAATACAAGTGTTCCACAGAAAAGGCCTCTGGAATAAATACACCACTGCCCACTTAGGTAAAGTGGATTTTTTAATGTGGTGCTACTTAAAAAAAGTGAGGGAACAAGTGGACTAAAAGTGTAAATGATTAAAACAGAGATGAGTCATATGCTCAGCTTGCTTGGTTGTCCATGACATGGTCCGCCTGTAACCATGAAACATTAACGCTGCAATGCTGGTTGGCAGAGCTAGAAATGAAACAGATGAAAAGATGAGCTGATGGTCATGAAATGAAGTCTGAAAACTGTAAGGTAAGACATCTGATCATTGTAATAAATTTGGGTAAATCTGTTAAACACTTTTTGACTGTCCTCAAAACGCTGCTTAAATCCTCTTCACTGGATGTCTGATTGTGTTGAAATGAAAAACAGACTGAAAAGAGATAGCTCTTTCCTGCAGAACACATAGGACCATATTCTAAGGTTTCTTGGTGCATAGTGCAGGTGCCATTGCTATTAGTCATCAGATGCACTGTCATTTTTTATGCCCTGCATGCGCCTACATTGTGTAAATATCAAATTAGTCTGCACCCACATTATGCCCTACGGGTGTCTTGGTCTTAAAATAAGGTTTGGTCAGGTGCAGAGTGGCACATTGTTTTCTTGTGACTGTGCCATTGACCGACAAACACCTGGTCCAAAACCTGAGGTCCACCGCACAGTTACTCTTCTGCTGTTTAGAGTGTGTGCTGAGAAAACAGCCGTAGAAATCACAGTGCGTATGAATCTGCTTTTTTACCTGACTCTGCCAGGAAAGTGAGCTCACACACTGACTAACCTATATCACACCAAAAGCCTGCCTATAAATAAAAGGGAATTACCCCAACCACTTTGGGCATTAGTTTACAGTTAATAAACCACTTACAAGACCTTATAGGGTGCTGATTGACATTGATTAATGTTAATCAGTGTTAAAGGAAAATCAACACATTAATAACTGCTTAATGACACTTCTCAGCTCTAACTAGAAACTGGTTCAGAGTTTATATACCAGGATGCTTAATAAAATTAGTTTAAGTCCACACTTGTCTGGCAGCTTTCTGATCTGCTAAGTAAAAAGCATCTGTCTTGCTACAGTAGCCATTGCCTCTTACTTCTATGTCTTCAAAAATTTCATAGACCCTTTCAGGGACCTCCTCTCTGCCACCACAGCCACTGGGTGAAAGGGGGCAGCATTGGGCGGTACCTTACAGAAAAGTGAGCATGCAGGGGGTAGTGACCTGTTCCAAGATGCACTTCATGGCACATCGTTCTTGTTGCTGGCAGCAAACTCCAATGACTGGATGAAGCAAGTTTTGCAGTAGAAGAGAAGTTCCATGCAAGTTGCAGAGGCGGTGTCATAAACTACAAGGAAGTACAACAAGGATGGGATTCAAACTCGCACACGCAAAGCGCAATAGATAAGCAGTCCATCGCCATAACCACTCGGCCAGCTCGTGTACTCTAAGGGGAATCTCAGCCATTCGGGTTCTCTGTTGCTGGCCCTAACAGCTAACAAAGTAGCAGCTTTTCTGGTGTTTTTCCACTCTGTTTGGGAACAGTGTACACCAGGGAATTAGCTAAAATAGTAGAGCGCTCGCTTAGCACGTGAGAGGTAGCGGGATCAATACCTGCATTCTCACCACTGTTCTGCATCCTCCCTTCCTCTCAAGGCACTGAAACACTCCTTGCTTAGATGCACAAGGAAACCATACAGGGAGCCTTGTAACTCAGTCATGCAACTACCTGAAATCAACTTGTCCAGTCTGTCCATTCTGCCTCATGCACACTTTGGAGCTGAGCCATTACTTGCTCATTTAAGATAAATTGACATACTAGACTGTAACACACTTGCAGAAAACATCGTTTTTGAAAACAGTGAATACAGTTTCTAAAATGTACACATTTTTCAACATGAATTGCCTTATAAAGACTCAGTAATCTTAATAAGACTATTCTCACTTTAGATCCTGCAGCTGCAAAAAATCATGATTAGCTGCTAATAAGATAAGATAAGAAAAATATTATTTATCCTTGTGGGGATATTTAATTTTGGTAAAGACTGATTTCCTTGAGATAGATTTATCATTTTGACTTCTCTTCTGGGTTTGAAGAATTCCCACTGTACTCCAAACCTTTCTTCTTTGCCCTAGCCAAGGAGAAGCTTGGGTCTGTTTAACCACAAAGCACTTTGTGGTGGTCCACCAAAACTAAACCCCGTTCTTCCAACACTTCAACCTCTACCATGCTATGTGCACAGTTCTCATCCAACACTGCAAAAACCTCTCACTGCTCTGAATCATCTGCTCTCTATCCCAAACAATGGCTTTGTCTCTTTTGTGATTGAAGTGTTATTGCATGATTGAATAAAACATAAAATAAAAACATACAGGCAAAGGACTAACAAAGCCTGGTGTGTGTGTGTGTGTGTGTGTGTGTGTGTGTGTGTGTGTGTGTGTGTGTGTGTGTGTGTGTGTGTGTGTGTGTGTGTGTGTGTGTGTGTGTGTTTAAGATGCCTGTTGAATTGGGTATATGATTCAGGGGCTTCACTGTGGAGCTGTTAGGTCACAGAGGACTATTTAACCCCACTTTGTTTTGGGAGGTGAGTAAGGCAGCTAACGGAATTGATAGACAGGCTTCTTTGGTTCCAGTTCTTCCTACTGGGTGCATCCATGAAAAAAATATTGGAGTATCGTGATCAGCACTTTGGCCCCTCATCCCCTCTGGCACCGAATCCTGAGCTGATGCTTGTGTTTTCCTCTATTTTTATTTCTTTAGGGGGAGAAACAACCTTGGCTTCCTTCTCTGTCTGTGAAAACTGTTGCATGTTTTTGATGTCGGATCCAACTGGCGGTTTTGCAGCTTTACTGCTACTGCCTTGCATGTTGTTAGAGTCAAGTGACTGTTGAACTGTTTTGACCTTGGAGTTTAAAACATGTCCACACTGCTGATGTGTCATTCACAAGGTTTCTACTGTGGCATATTGTCCTTTCGTTTTACATATGTATTGCATATGTAAGTGTTTCCCCCCTTTGAACCATGGCATTTCCATAGGCTGCAATTTCAGTGGGCTTTGTAGCTGATCGCCAGGGTTCTATTTTTATTGCTGTATAAATTCAGCACAGATTAGCCTGTGCTGGAAAGGAAGTCAGGCATGCATACAAAATAAAACAACCAGCTTCTTTTCAAAATAAACCACTATGGGCACTACTAGTTATCGTGCGCTTGCATATAATTTCGTGGGTTCTTGTGAGTCCTCGCGATTCCCACTGTCCGAAATTCCCTTCCCAAACGCATCGGGTAGGATTTGGCTGATGGCAAAAATCGCCACGGTTCTGCAGCAGTGCAATTTGTGGGGAACTTGCACAAATAACTCGGTTGCTGATTGTAATTTGTTTATGACCACTCACATGATTATGATTAGGGTGAGATGATCCACTTAAATCGCCAATGCTCAATCAATTATAAATTGCCCAGGTAAGCTAATTGATCTTAGCTGATGTAATAGCTGAGATCAGTTTTAGGACACCTAGAATAAATGGGTGTGAGTCTAACACTTTGTCTTTAAATTTGTGAGGTCCTGGGAATTTAACATGAACATACGTTCATTGAAAGTTCAGACTATAGAACATGGTTGTAAAGATGTATTTGTGTTGAGTGCTTATATTGAATAAAAAAGCATCACTTCTCATTGCTCTAGCTGGTATATATTTGCATGTACATGACATGGTGTGTGGATGGATGGTCTGATTTCCATGAGAGGAAAGTCCAGTGTGTTTTTCCTTGTCTATTTTAGAACATTTTTCCATAATTCAAACAAAATGAACATGCACACAGCCCCCAATCAAAAACCCACTGCTGTATTATGAACACTTTAATGGGTTTGGTTTGTGCAGCATGTGTCTGACAGCAGCTTTATATATATATATATATATATATATATATATATATATATATATATATATATATATATATATATATATATATATATATATATATATATAATGCCCACAAAGATAAAATGTAAACATCACCATTGCTTATACACATATGCTGTAGCCTTTCATTTAACATATAGATGAATATAAATGAATAAATTCTAATTCAGGGTCAACATGAGCCTGGAGCCTTTTTCAGCTTGAACTGGCCAGGAGGCATGAGAGTGATAATGTGGACTTGTCATTGAATTATAATTACAAGAATGAATACTGCTGAATAATGACATGAGTCACACTAGGCTGTTGAAGAGGTACGTGCATGTGAGCATGACTGCCTGATTACCTGCTTGCACTTTACATAAAGTTGATGTACATGAGGTTGGATGAGGCAGTCGCTGATATTATTAGTGTATGTTGCTCCAGTGTTTAAATCTTGCCAAAGCCTGAATGAAGCCTGTGGCTAAAAACCAGCTTAAAGTCCAGCCATGTCGTATTAAAGCAGATCTGTTCGTGGCATGGGTAGAGGGAGAGATAGAAATGAATATTATTCTATATCTCTATTTAGACAAGGAAAACTTTACCACAGGAATTTAGTTCATTTCAAAAAACTCTCACCCAAATACTGATGTCAGTGTCAGTGTCCTCTGTATTTGAAGAAATGTTCAAAGCTTGGCATTGCAGTCAGAGAGAGACTTTGTTTAAAAACAGGTACTTGTTCCTCTTCCAGCAGTGCACTGATCTGTTCGTTGGGTCTGAGGCTTCATTGGAGACAAATACAACCTGAGCAGTTGGTGATTCTGACAGTGACAATGACAAGATACTTCATGTGGACATATGCAGACAACTTGACACAAGGAGGCTGAGATCACCTGTAAGCAGTACACTTAGGGCTCTATTTTCGTTCGCGCCGGTGAGGCGGCGGAGGGCGGCGAGCCCCGCGCAGTTGTATTTCCGTCTGGCGGAGCCCGGCGTAAGGTGAGTTTGGTATTTTCGTGGACTGAGTCGCACGGAGGCGAGCCGAGATCCGCCAAGCTGGGCGTGGTGGCGTGGCAGGGGGAGGTGTTGACAGAATCAGCTGGCGCAGTGACATTTTCGTGCTCGCCACCGGCGTGTAACGTGCGCTGAAAGCTCGCCGATTCACACCTGGTCAGCTTTCAGCGCAAGGCGGAACGCAGCTGGTCTAGTAGTATTTTGGTAGACCGGCGGCGTATCGACATACGTCACCGATGCCTCACCGGCAGGTTTCCACAGTGTCAGGCACATTTCAGTGCAATAAATAATCATCAACAACTATTAATCTGAGTCAGCACATACATTTAGATCTATATAGATATATTCTGATCTATATCTGATCTGATGAGCGCGTTTGGCACGCGTTTGGCACGCGTTTGGGCACACAACCTGACCGAATCAATACAGCTGAAACTGCATCAAATTAAATTAAATATCTAGTAAATAAACACACATGATGAAGTTAACAAGATATGTAATGTGTCTCCCTCCTTTTCTTTCTTCCTCTTATTTCTCGCACAGCTCGACCTGGACACGTCTCCGTGTCCTCTGTCCGTCTTGCTGCTGCTGCAGCTGAACAGATGATTTGTTTCAGTGCTCAGATGCGTTATCTACTTTAAGCCGACATACGGATATTATAATATTCAGTTTTGTGAGCCAAATTTATTTTATATGCCAACATCTATGAAAGAAAGAGCCAGGCCACGGAGCGCGATGCGTCATTTACGCACAGATGGTTCCGATTTTAATGCTATTTTTGGAGTTTATGTTGTGATCTGTGCGCTAAACCCACCTTTGTCACGTGAGGTTTGAATATATGCAACTTTATGTGAGTGTCTTTTTTGTGGAAAAGGGTGTTTGTCTTACCAGTGGGTCCAACATTACGCACACCAAATCCATCCGTGCTCAGATGAGAGAGTGTGGAGGACACTTGTTGAGCAGCTGCCCTCTGTCGCCATCTTGTGGCATAACTGTCTTCAGACATCTCTTGATCTCTTTGACTACTTCATGAAAATAGTAATACGCCTCGCCGGTGGCGGATTTAAAAGGCAAGGAGAGGAGCTTATGTGATTGGTGAAAACAGGTCTCGGCTGTGTTAAACTCACTACACGCCCTCTCTCCTCCCCGTCTACGACTTATGCTGCCGGGAGGAGCTGAGTTAGGGAGGGGGGATACTTACGCCGGGCTGCGCAGCTCACCAAAATACCAAAATGTGCTTGGGAACGCCTTGTCAGCGCGGCGGATCTGATTGACGCTGCGCTTGCGGCAGATCTCCGGCGAGGCACCAAAATAGAGCCCTTACTATTATTCACAACCACCTCATAGAACACCATTCATTAATTTAAAAAAAAAAAAAAAAGGAACATTTTATACAAAAAGTCTCAACCTACTTATTTCCAAGCCATGCTTGGTAAAATGTAAAGACAGGAAATTACAGCTGACTGATGAGAAAGGCCTTGGTACATATCAAGCAAGGTACAAACCACAAGTGAGTCTGGCTGATTACCAAGGACAGCTGGTCATTGTCACGTGGAATGAAATAATAGCCAATCAGAAACCAATCTGACTAGAGAAAGAAGCTCAACAAATGCAGTTAAGGCAATGGCAGTAAATGTAACTCATGGACTTAGGCGGACGTCTAAAAAAGACAACCCATACTGATACATGAACAACAAACACATGGTGGAGGAGGAAGCCACATCGACTCTGAATACCTCAGGGCCCCCACAGCACCCACTGTATGGAGAGTGATGTATTTTTGGAGGTAGCCTTCTATAATAATGAGATTGGCAGATCAGAGGCACAGCTGACTTGACTGACAGGGGGCAAGCAAATGTTGATATGGAAGAACATTTATGATGATTACCTCATGGAAATGCAATCAGACCGAGGTGCTGAGGCTAAAGAAATGAGGCAAAGCTAAAAAGATGTTTGGTGGCTAGTACTATGGCTGGGACCCTATATGTACTGGTCATTACTAAAGTTGGTATAACTAGAGAAGCAAGCGGTCGGCAAGATTGATCTTTGAGGGGGGTCTCACTCGGTGTTTTGATGTGTTTGACCCTAACTTAAATTTACGCTGGAATATCATTTTAACAGACAAGTTTGACCACAAGAGATTTCACAAGGTTTCCAGCTTTGAGCACAGATCCTAATGAATAAACAGTTTATGTCCATGATGATCTGGTTTAATAATAATGAGACTGTTATATTTCTATTCCAAACTCCTCATAATGCATTTAGATACTGAGCAACTGAGACTAACCTTGAGAGGTTATAATGTGGACATCACTGCTGACATAACTTAGGACCAGAAAGTTTCACCTGCAGAAGTCTAACTTTGTTATCACTTAAAGTGATACTTTGTGTTTTCATATTGTCTGTGGTGTTTATAATGATAGCCTGCCTGACAGGAATAAACAACAATTTCTAAATGTTTGGCTTCAATAATAGAAGAAAATGACGTTCAATCTCTATATTAAATGCTACTATTATTGTCAATGCTCACTCAGATTTAAAAAAATATATATATAACATATACAAAGCAAACAATAAATACTGAGTGTAGTGCAAATGAACACTGATCAGCATGCAGCAAAGCTGTTCACACATGCCTCCAGTATTGTTCCTAATCAGAGTGCAGACAATACAGATGAGTTTGAATTCCTCCCAGAACAAGATAATAGTAGATACCAGAATGAATCAGACTGTACTGACACCAATAATGATGAGCCCATCCATTCTCTCCTTTACAGCCTTTTCTTGCCTTTCAAACACTATCTCACCATCTTTTCTTCCTCTTTTCTGCACTCATTTCTATAATTTGTATCATATCTTTCACTCTCGCTCTATCTCTCTGTCAGCACACAGACACTCTCTCTATTAGAACAAGGCATTGATAAGAAGCAAACTAATTCTCAGAGGAACTCCAACAACGCTTTACAACAATGTCATGCACCAGACACCAGAACTGATTCATTTTTCTTCCCTCAGTGTTAATCCCCTGTGACCAAAATGTTAATTTTTGCAGCAGGGACAAAAAAAGGAGTGGTTTTGTTTCAGTGTCTCAACCAAGACACTTGAACCAGAGCCAAAAAGTCGGATATTAATTTGCAAGAGGTTTTGAAGATGTCAGTTTCAACCACTTTGTCCTTCAGCTCATTTTGTAGCTATTATCTGAGTGTATGTGGACTGTGCATAAAGGTCACTCAAAAGGTGAAAAGGAGGGAAAAACAAAAGCAAAGTAGTATAAAGTTAGGAGAGGCCCTTCAGTACTTAACAGCACTTTGGTTACGCATCAATTTCCTGTTTACTTTATGATAAGTCGGGTTAGGATTTAACCCGAAATATTTTTTATTAAGTTGGTTAAGGTAAAAAAAAAAAAGTCCAAGTTAACTTGTGGCTTAAAAGTGTCGATACAATTGTCTTTCAATCAAATGGCAACCCAAATCCTCACATGCATGCTTGAACTGAAAAATAAAGCAAATTTTGAGAAACTTATCAAGTTTACTCAGGAGCCTTCCAATCTGCACCAACATAGCAAAAAGAAAGAGGCGCCACAAACAGTCCAGATGATGAGTGACTTGTTCCCTTTGTGAGGCTAGGGAGCCAAGCTAATTCCATCTGCTGTCATTCAGAGTCATTCATTACCTCTATTTTAATTCATACTGGAGGGTTATATGCAGGCCTCAACATTTTAATCCTGAGGTCCCACCTCAAATCGAGAATGCAGTCCCAGAGCATATCAACAGTGCACAGTGCCTGAAGTACACTGTATTATTCTCAATAACTATCTAAAATCAACTGGAAAGAAGCACTTATGGTTTACAAACAGTGTCACTTTTAACCATTTTGTCCTTTTCAGCACGAGTTAGGGCAAAATGGATCATAAGACTGACACGAGGATTGGTGTTGTAGCCAGTGTTAATTTCGTAGACTGAGTATAAAGATTTAATTTCCTTTGTATTTGTTTTGTTTCATTCAGTTGACTTTTTTCCACTCGTCCTTTTTTCCACGCTCCACTTCACTCGCCAGGCGCTCTGTGTGTGTGTGTGAAGGACATGGGTCATCATCATTGTTACGCCCCACCCTTAGGCGGCCCTATGGGGCTAACAACAATCCTCAACTTTTGACCCACTAAATTAACAAACATCAAATGTTTAACACGTGATTTATTGTGACAAAATAACAAAGTAGCAAACTAGACACAAAGCACCCACAACACAAATGAGAGGCAGCAGGGCAGCAGGGCAGCAGTTCCCCACCAAATGCCTCTCCAGACTGCAGGCAGCTCTGGGCTTTTAGACTCCCAGCACCAGGTGAGTCTGATTGGCACTCAAGTGATTTCACCTGGGCAGCTATGGAGAGACAAAAGGGGAAAAACACATGCAAAACAAACACACAGCCGTAACATCATCATCATGTTTATTTGGCCAATACAAACCACAAAGCAGCCTATGATCCTATGACCTCTTCCTCCTATTATTCTAAGTTTACATGTTTCTGCTGCTGCTGTGCTCCTTTTGTCAGTGTCTAGACACTATGGGCTCTATTTCTGTGTCCACTGGGGGATGCAGCGGAGGGTGGCAGACCTCGCGCAGTGGTATTTTCGTCTGGCGGAGCCCGGTGTACAGCCAGTTTGGTATTTTTGTAGACTGTGGCGCACCGAGGTCTGCCAAGCTGGGCGTGGTGGCGTGGCAGGGGGAGGTGTTGACAGAATCAGCTGGTGCAGTGACATTTTTGTGCTCGCCGCCGGCGTGTAAAGTGCACTGAAAGCTTGCCAATTCAAACCTGGTCAGCTTTCAGCGCAGGCGGCGCACAGCTGGTCTAGTGGTATTTTGGTAGACCGACGGCATATTACGCATACGTCAGCGATGCCGCACAGGCAGGTTTCCACAGTGTCAGGCACATTTCAGTGAAATAAATAATCATCAACAACTAATAATCTGAGTCAGCACATATATTTAGATCTATATTGATATATTCTGATCTATATCTGATCTGATGAGTGCATTTGGCATGCGTTTGGACACACAACCTGACCAAATTAACACAGCTGAAATCACATCAAATTAAATTAAATATCCAGTAAATAGACACACATGATGAAGTTAACAAGATATGTAATTCGCATCCCTATAGGGGCCCATTTGAGCCCTATAGGTGCTGCCCTTAGTCTTGGAGGTACTTGGTCCAGTTCCAGCAGTTCACCCTGGTCCCATTTAAAAGAAAAAAAAAACCCTCATAATTTTAACTCATGAGGGGATAAACCTCAAAGACAATAGTAAGGCAAAAGATTATCATTTCTAAAAACAGCCTCTTAGCATTAAGCCCATGGCTCTTTACGACTGGCTCATATTCGGGGACAGCCTGAACCTCAGTCCTTGAGTTTTCTGCCAATGTAAAACCTTTGCAGTAAACCCATGGAGGGTTGATTACTTTGGTAATCACTGGTTTTGCCCAGTCCATCAATGCAACTTCAGAATCACTCCTTAAGGAGACAAACGGCTATAAAATATTTAAACCATGTTTAAAACAGTTATGAGTACAGCATGTGATCACACCAACTTAGTAAAGATTGTGTGGGAGGAATCTCTCGCTAAACAGCTGTGCAAAGAAGAGACACAATGGTAATGAGCACAGTGTAACAAACAACAAGTCCGTTAATTATATAGTGTCAGTGCAGCGGTGGTGCCATGCAAAAGCTCAGGTTTGAAAACAACGATTAAGTAGAGAAACAGGAGGAGGCACATGACAAACAGACAGGACTATTTATCCAAAAACTTCATCAAGGTCAGAGAAATGGAAAAGTCACGCATATGATTTTACTCTTGTGTAGTAAATCATCCATAATCTAAAACTAGGCATAAGTCGTTTGATGCTCCAGCCTTTTTTTTTTTTTTTGTGATGCTTGTGTTTGTGCACAAGTTTGTGTGGGAGAAAGAAAAATAGATGACACAGATTGTTGCACAGTTCCAAAAAAACATTGACAGTCATAGTACTCCTACATCTCTGTCTCCTTCTGCTGCTTCTGTGTTTATATCAGGGTGTGGGTCTTCAACAGTAGAGAGAGCAGGTGCGGCCCAGAAAACAAGGCTGAGATTGAGTTTGTTCTGTTCTTCACAAACACCGTGTACATACAGTTGTTCTTTCCTGAGGCGGATGACGCCAGAGTCTCAGAGTTAGCAACAGCTGGAGCAGTCAGAGCTGTGAGGTCGACTCAGAGACGAAGAAGAGGAAGTTCACACTGTGCTCCACTGTTGACGTGTTAAGCTGTGTCGCTCTTGCTGTAGGGGCAGGAAGTATGCATAATACTTATGTGGTTACATTATTGTCAGACTGATTGTGTGATTAGGATTATGTTGTGCTTGTTTACACATTGTAAATTGTCTACAATCAACATGTTACTGTTGAAGCAGCAGGGATTTGAGATATATTTTCAGGTCAAAGTTTCAAATGAGTCACACACTGAACACATAAATCAGGCTATTTAAGAGCAGAAGAGATTAAATATGATGAGATAAACTTTTAAACAAACTCCTGTGGAAGACATTATCATTTTTATTATATTTACATGATCACTTTGAATATGTTGCCTGACAAAAATGTCTCTTGGTCACAGTTCAGACAGTTATGAGAGGTTCATAAAACATAAACAGTCTGGTTTCTCGGGTTAAAAAAAAAAAAAAAAAAACTCTACAGGGAAAATCAAAAATTAAGTTTAAAAAAAAAACTGAAATAGATGTATGACTGTGCAAAACAATTGACCTTAGTTAGGAAATAGAAGAGTTTGGCAAAAAATTAATGTTCAAGCTCTTAGCCCCATCATATCTGAAACATAAATTGCACTGCTTTATAATACACAGTCTGTTTAGAGACTGAGGCTGTTTGAGAGGAAAAAGGTTGAGGCAGGACTTGAACTGTCCTGTGTGGAGCTTCTATGCAGATGTGTGGCCCCGTCTAGTACCATCTGTTATCACCGTACTGCCAGCTACCTATATGATAGCTGGACTCAGGTTACACTATTGTTGATCTTTGTGAGGCACAAATGCGCCTGTAGCACTGAGACTCTCCATTTCCTAACCAGCTCTCTGTAAAGTTAGTCTACTTCTACTAGCTCTTTCCTTGAATGCGTGATTATGAACAAAGAGGGAGAGGGGTTGAAAAGTGGCTCACCATGCCATGTGTCCAGCATGTTTTAAACACCGAAACTGTTACTTGCTTCTTTGAGCATCATCTTTGGGGTAAAACACCATAACACAACAGAATACCATATTCTTGTATATCGGTCATATTACAGACACAGGTCACTTATTTGGATGATAAAATGGGTTTAAGAAGTGGGTCTCATACACCAAATCTTACGGTAACAAATCTTACGGTAACATCTTATGGCTAACTTCTGTTCTTATCATTTTGTTTACATGCTTAACTTTTGTCTTTTATTTATTTTTTCAGACACATCATCTATCTAAATTTGGGTCACCATATTTTCTGTTCTGAAAACAAACAGGCTTGGACTTCTGTGACCTTGGACACTTGGAATCACTGCTTAGACTATTCTGCTGTATTGCATCTCTATAATCATAAATACTTGAATCGGAAGTTATTCATCTCTTTTAATAAGAAAAAATGAGGCAGGAAGAAACAGCGTAGCTTTGAGGTCTGGAAGTTCAAACAAACCTTCCCTGTTTAATTATGTGAAGTTTTAAAACCAGCTTTCTCTGATAACAATTCAAATTTTCAACACATCAGTAAAAACATAACAATCCTTTAATTTTGGAACATGAATGTATAACACTCACTGTGGTGCTAATGGACTGTTTACACCTAAAACCAGTGTGCTACTAACCAGTTCACTGGTTGACTTACTGACAAAATGATGCAGTATTTATACACTGGCTTTCTGCAGGAGTAACTCATACTGCATTCAGCTCATATACAAGCTGAAAATACCTTTTTCCAGTTGTTCCCTCTGCTACCAAAACAAATGTCAGATACATCAGGATTCCCTTCTCCTGCGCACTAGGCCAGCATGAGAATAATACTGCTTGTTTTCCGAACAAATGTCAGAAACATCAAGGATTCTTCTTCCCAAACTGGAGTCACACAGGTGCATGTGGAGCTTATCGTGAATATCAATGGAGTATTATATAAATCCCATACTGCTGCCCTGAGATTGACAGGTCGCTGGGAGGAAGCTTCTTTGTAGCAGGACTCTGTGTGTGTGTGTGTGTGTGTGTGTGTGTGTGTGTGTGTGTGTGTGTGTGTGTGTGTGTGTGTGTGTGTGTGTGTGTGTGTGTGTGTGTGTGAACAGTGTGTGTGCAGGAAATGCTAAGGTAGAAGATGTATGTGTCTGACACAGGGACAATGTGAGCACGTCAAAGAGTGTTTTTTTCTGCCTTTCTATGAGCATTGGCATTTGTCTCTTAATTGTTAATATCATACATTGTCATCAGTGTCAATTTGATCTTTATTGACTTCATACATGTGATTAACTTTTTCAATATTTGATAAAGGATCCTCATTTTAATCAATGACATAAGGTACAGCAACACAATCTGGTGAAGTGTGGTCTTTTGTCAAGACCACTAAGTGTCAAGCTACCCCAAGTTTTACAGTGAGAAATTGATCAAAGTTCAGTCTAAAGTGAAACACAAAAAGTCCCATGTCAAGACCAACATGTCCTTTGTCAAGTCCATCAGATCCAGTGTCAGGCCTCGATATGAAACCTACAGGCCCAATGACCATTGAGTCCCAAGTTATTGTTTAACTTAGTTCAACAAGGCCAACAAGTCCCTGGTAAATTCCTGAGTCACGTGCGGGTTCTTGGTTACATTCCCAGTTGATGCCAAGTTCCAAGCGGGTTGTGTCTATGTGCTCCTTCTCTAGTCTTCTGGTCACTCAAAGTGCTTTTACATTACCTGTCACATTTACCCATTCATACCACATTCACACACTGAGAGCAGAGGCTGCTAATGTATCCATCAGTATTAACTCTTTTTTCCTTTCATGTCATTTTGGACAAAGTGCTTCCTGGCTATCAACCACATATTCTGTCACTCCTAGTTTTCTCTCTGATATGATGGGTGGCACTGTTCCGTACTTTGTGGAGTAGTAAAGCACTCGTGGTTCCCTAAACTGTCCAGTGAGCTTCACCTGTAACAGAGAGGGGCTGAATTCAGGTGGAGATGAGAGACATTACACCAGGATCATCCTGTTAATGTTGAACATCAACGAGTACCTCAGAATGTCCTATTCTATTCGAGTTTTACAGTCAAAACAAGTACAAAAAAAACAAAACAAAAAAAACATTGAAACAGTTTCATACATTGTGCAATCACTCATTGAATTCGTTTATGATCATAATTAAAATAATAAAGGTTTTTTTTTGTGTGTTATGTCCATAGGGACAACAATTCTGGCATAACTTCACCAACTTCCAAGGTGCTCAGAGAAAAGGGGTCTTAAAGAGGTCAAAAGAGCTCCAGCAACATTTGTAGTTTAGGAAAACAACTTTATTTGCCGATGCGTTTCGGCTTGTGGCCTTCACAGAGAGCAATTCATCTTAAAATGTGTATAATGGCGGAAGGCGAAGCCAAGTTGTCCAATGCTGAATCCATACAACATGCAACATTCATTACCGGAGAGAAGTAGAAATGTTTGATACCATCCAGTCGACAGACTTTTTAAAGCAGATGATTAGTGGAATAAACTTTTTGGCCTGAGTCAGAAAAGAAAGTCTGTATTCAAGACTCAGAGCAAGTAAAACTGTCTCAAAGGTCTCCATGGGGACATCTTCATCAGTGTAGCAATATTAGAATGACTCCAGGTCATCAGCATTCAAAAGAGGAAAATACAAAGAAAGAGCCCACTTCCAAGGACAAGTGCCCTCTTTTGCATTTGCATGATTTTCAATCTCTTCTTCCTGTCAGATGGTCAAGTCAATAAACTGTTCTCAGCATACAAAGAACAAAATCAGGTGCTGTGGTTGTTAAAATATGACAGCAGCAACCACACTTACTTACACTTACTCACACATTCTCCTCCATGAGAGAGAAACACGGACAAGACTTTATTATTTTTCAATGACACTCAGCAAGCATCCGCAGGGTGTCTCTGGAGTGGACTCTGTTAACCTGGATGCAAACAAGTTGGTGAGTTGTTCAAAAAAATACACAACCAGAGTTACCCACAGATTAAAAAAGAAAATGTTGTTTAATAATAGGGACTGGAATAAGAATGAGAGTGACTGGAGTCTTGGCACATGAGATACATGACTTTTCCTAGGAAGGGAAGTATACTTTTTTTAACCTTCACACTAATTTGACATTTTTTTTAAGTTGCTATTAAACATAAATCAGCAATACTGCATGAGCTTCATGTGAGAACATATGGACACAGCTGGGGTGGGCTCATGTGGGTTTCAGCGGGGAATCTTAAGGTAAGCAGGTGTGAGGGCTCCATGACTTTCCTGAGTGCATGTCGAATAACAGCTTCTGGAACTTTGAGCTGAGCTCTTGACTTTGTTTCTGCAGGTCTATGACTAAAAGTGACTCCTGTAGCATTCACAGTTTTAATCACCAGATCTTGTGGTTTCAGGTTAAATGTTATGCAGAAAGCTTGTGGTGAGGTCGGTCCTTCCATTTAGTAAAACTTGTTAAAATGTGCTTTTCTATAACCTTTTCTGTGTGAAACAGACACCATTAAGGCTTGAGGCTCACTGTGAGGACAGCTGAGTAATAGGTGATCACATTATTGTTAATGTCAAAGCAAAGGTTGCTTTTCTTTGTTGTACTTAGTCAGAAATGTGACTCTTGCTCACAGGAGGGGGACTGGTCATGTCGGATATTTCCAAACTCTTGATCTATCTTCACTGTTTTTCTGCTAACAAAAGCAGTCAGGCTTATATTGTTCAGGGGAAAAAGTAAAAGTCAAGAGGAAAAAAGGATTTTCTAATGGACTTTTTAAAATTTTTCGAGTTAAAATGTCTTGTTGAACCTCACATAACCGCATAGATAACTGATGTGCAGGTCTGCATTACAAATCTTAGTTCAAGATATTACAAGCCACTACTGAGAACTTTATTTATTCTGATTAAAAATGGCTACTGAGACAATTTGCTAATCAGACATCTAAGTGTCTGGGTACATCAAATACTGACCATGTGACAGGAGATGTGGCAGCTCCTCAACAATCCAGGGGTTTAAATTGTGTCCTGAGAAATTCAGACAATACTTCAAAATGTCCCTCTGGCAATTTCAAGAACTGCTCCATGAGCTGACTTCATGTTTGCAGAAGGAGTGGATGCATTACAGAGAGCAGATTGATCTGATTAAATCAAAGAATGTATATACTATGGACAACTTGGTTGCGTCTTCTGCCTGTACATGGATTTGAAGCCAAAAAGCTCTCTGTATTTCCTGGATTTTTCTTCAATTCCTGAAACCAGCACTGCGCAGTAACGTTGTGCGCGTTAGGCTTGAGAGTCGCTGTGATGACACTCGGCTCAAACAGCGTATTCGCCGGGTGAGCTACGCAATCCCTGAACGCCAAAAGGCTGTATCAGGTGTCAATCAAAGAAAACTTGAACCCCCTAATAACTTTTAAAAATGGAGCTTCACAGAAAAAAGAGGACTTGAACACAAACCAGTCTTACAATAACTACATGTCAACATCACAAGCAGGGGGGAGAATAATTTATGTTCCGTGTAATAAATTTCTAAAGTTTGTCCACAGCTCCATAAGCTTTGCTGGAGGAGGCGGGATTTATGACCTATACTGCAGCCCATCAACAGAGGGTGCTGTTCTCGGAGTGGCTTCACCCAGCAACGAGGCAGACGCTGTCCATTCTATATACAGTCTATGGATTAAATGTTCGCAAAATTCTCTACAGGGGTGAAAAAATTACAGTTGCTTTATAGCTCTGTGAAGTATGTGGCTGGCGTGGAAGCTTGCATTGATTTTATGAGGTTAACAAAAAAAAAAATATTCGCTTCGCTAATTTGCCACTATGAAAAGACAGGACTGACAGGTGGTAATGGTTTGTTATCCAATAAATTTGGATGAAACAGCTGCCGAGGCAGACAGAGTAAAACGAGTTGACAAGGCTGCTTTAGCAGATAGTTATACTTGTCTCCCATGATTATTAATCCAGAAAACTGAGTGTATGAAACTTCCACAGCAAAAGAGCATTCAAGGCAAAGGTCATTTAAAAAGTTTGCAAGTAATTCACAAGCTACTGTGTGATCACTGCCCCCTACTGAGGGCAAAACTTGTCAAAAAGTTGGTAATGATACAGCCCTCCAACTTAAAGGATATTCTGTCGTAAAATGAAGTCAGGGTTAACCACACCGTAACACGGAGTTAGGTACCCCCTTGAGAGAAGAATGTTGCCGACCGTTTGCTTCTCTAGTTATAACAACTTTAGTAATGACAGCACGATGGCAATACACAGCGGTCTCTGGATCCACGTGCAAACCCCAAACAAAACGCCACTCTTTAGCCACAAATAATGCTCAGAACAGCACCTAACTTCATCAACAGTACATATAGGGTCCCAGACATAGCACTAGCCTCCAAACATCTTTTTAGCTTTGCCTGATTTTAGCAAAGAGACAAAACACAACTCACCCTGTCTCTTCCAGCGGCCGCTTCTTTGTAGGCAAGGCTTGGACAAGTCCATCACTGACTGCAGCGGGGCGACGCAGTTCAAGGAAGAATGTTTATGATCATTACTTTATAATTTCCTTGAAGTAATAATCATCATGTTAATCATTTTGCACGGCTGACGCGATAGTTCTTCTGCCTTAGTGCCTCGGTTTGATTGCATTTCCATGAAGAAATGATCATAAATGTTCTTCCTTGAGCTGTGTCACCCTGCTGAACGCGGTGATGGACTCATCCATGGTCTCCCTACAAACAATGTTGCCGAGAGAGACTAGTTGAGTTGTGTTTGGTCTCTTTGTTCAAGAAATCAGGCAAAGCTCAAAAGATGTTTGATGGCTAGTAATATTGCTGGGACCCCATATGTAATGTTGATGAAGTTAGGTGCTGTTCTGAGCATTATTTGTGGCTCTAAAGTCTGAGGTGTGCGTGTGGCTCCTCAGACCTGTATTGCTATTATGCAGTCATTACTAAATTTGGTGTAAGTAGAGAGGCAAGCAGTTGGCAACATTCATCTCTCAAGGAGGTGTCTAACTCCATGTTACAGTGTGTTTGACCCCAATTTAATTTTACATCAGAATATCCCTTTAAATGAAAGTCATAATTGGTGAGGAATGAGATGAGCACACTAAGTTAACTTCACTAAGTTCAGTTTTGCTAGTGTAGCAGTTGCATGACTATCATTCAGAGAAATATAAGCAGCCTCTTTCACATAACAGACAAATGTTCCACCTAAGGCACACCTCCTGATTTTCTGATTTAATACAGACTTACTGATCTGTGGGTTCGATTCTTTGTGGACTGTTGAGCCTTATGTTGTCCCAGGCCTCCAGCTGTGCCACAATCTCAAATCATAGCAGTCTGCAGCATAAATGTGTGACCCTCTGAGCACAGAGAGCTGGACTGAACAGGTAAGAGTAATGGTGTGCTGGAGACCTATGAGCAGAGCGTATTCAGTCATGCAGTGTTGTGTTAGTCCTCCATCAGACAGATCTTTTGCTTCATTGCCTTTCAGTGCTCTGGTCCCATGGGGAGCATCAGCAGGGCAGCAGCCGGTCAGTGGATCACTGCTCTTCAGTGAATTCCATTATTTCCTTCACAGATCCTCCCACCATTGCTGCACCAGCAGATCCTGCTGCTCTTTGATCAGCCTCAGCCCCACATGAAGGTCAGTCTGTGTTCAGCTTGTATTCTTTTGGACATAACAAGAACTTCAATCACTAGACACATGTTTGATTACCGCATGGTTTGGCCAAGTATTTGAACATATTGAAGAGATTTGAACTGTTATGCTTCTACTGTGGTACAGAATGGGCAAACCTGTATTGTTTGCCTTTTTGTATATCTGTATTTAGTGAGTTGCTGCACTAAACACACCAGTGTAACACCAAAGATGAAGAAGATGAAAGTGGGTGTTGTGTGTGAAAAAATATGCATTAAAAGAAATTTTTGATGCCAAAATTTTGACAAATGGAGAGCACAGTTATTTCCCCATCAGGAGGGGTGAGCAAGGGAGCATTTTTATCTAAAAACAAACAAACAATCAAAAACGAACAAACATAAAAACGGACTGCCAGATGTTGCAAAATATTTCCGTTTCCATTGAATATACAGCAGGTGAGTAGAGCGTGTTGGACTCAATAACACTCTGCTGCAGGAGGACTAAGATTAACTTTCAGCATCACTTTAGGTTTCTTCTTGTAAAGTGCAGCACATGAAACTGAGAAGAATCTAACCGGGGCAAGTATTTTTTTAAGCAATCTCCTTGTTGCTCAATTTGCATGTCCATGCCATAGACTGTATATAGAATGGATGTCGTCTGCCTCCTCACTGCGTAAAGCCACCACAAGAACAGCACCCTCTGGTGACGGGCTGCAGTATACGTCACAAATCCCACCTCCTCTAGCAATCCCTATGGAGCTGTGGACAAAATTTAGAATTTTATTACACAGAATGTAAATTTTTCTCCCCCCTGGTTGCGATGTTTGTGCTCAAGTCTTCTTTTTTCGGTACAGATCAATTTTAAAAGCTATTAGGGGGTTCTTGTTTTCTATGATTGACACTTGATATAGCCTATGGGCGTATGAAGATTGCATAGATCATCCGGGGGATACGATGTTTTAGCCAAGCGTCATCACAGCGACTCTCCTGCTGAATGCGTATGACATGTAGTTACTGTAAGACTGGAAATACCTAGAGCAATGTGGCTTAAAATTCATATAATGATGGAAGGTGGAGCCAAATTGTCCATATTATATACAGTCTGTGGTCCATGCTTAGAGCATTCTCATTCAAAAATAAAGAAGTGAAACTTGGTTGCTCACCCACTCATTGGCATCACCTCCACTTGTGAATTGGTGTTAGTTGGGGGGGGGGGGTTAAGAACTCAGAGCAGAGCTCTGAGTCGGGCTTCTCAACAGTGATAGAGGCAGCTGAAGTGGTATTGAGATGGTCCATCTGGTTTCCTCTGTATGGGGATTTCCTGAGACGAGACCTCGAGGCAGATCCAGAGCTCACTGGGGGGATTACATATTCTAGCTGGCCTGGGAATGTCTCCTGATTCTCTGAGAAGAGGGGGAAAAATGCTGGTGTAGGGTAATTCTGGGCCAATCCTGCTTGGCCTACTGCCATTCAGAACCATGGATGCTCGCGAAGCTATGTCAACTGCCTTTTCCATTATCGTTATTCATTAAGTCGTCGCCATCGTTTTCTTCCGCTTCATTTGGGTCGCGGGGGCAGCAGCTTCAGGAGGGAAGCCCAGACAGCCCTCACCCCGGCCACTTCCACCAGCTCCTCTGGGGGGATTCCCAGGCGCTCCCAGGCCAGGTGAGAGATATAATCCCTCCACCTGGTCCTGGGCCGGCCACAAGGTCTCCTCCCGGTGGGATATGTCTGGAACACCTCTAACGGGAGGCGTCCAGAAGGCATCCTTACCAGATGCCCGAGCCACCTCAGCTGACTCCTCTCCACGTGGAGGAGCAGCGGTTCTACTCTGAGCGCCTCCTGAGTGTCCGAGCTCCTTACCCTATCTCTAAGGCTGAGCCCGGCCACTCTGCGATCCGCATTTCGGCCGCTTGTATTACGCCACTTCATGGCCATAGGTGAGAGTCGGCATGTAGATCGGCCGGTAAATCGAACAGTTTCGCCTTACAGCTCAGCTCTTTCTTCATCACGACTGATTGGTTAAGCGTCCGCATCACTGCTGACGCTGCTCCGATCATAAGTATGAATGCAAATATTGTCCAGAGGACTTATTGTAATACTATCCAATAGTGAGATTTTGAAATTGTTACATCCCTTAAATAGACACAACTGCAAGAACAAGGCAGAGAAAACCTCATCCCTATGAGGCAAGAAACAGGAAAACAAAAATGACTCCAGAGTCTTGTGTTATACAGGACTGCTGCAGTGGAGGAACTAACTTGCATTTTTATTTTATCAGTTTCATATTCATGCATCATTACTCAAATATTCCGATGCATTCTACCTGTGACACAGATTTCTTTTTTATTACCGAGTGTCTTTTTTCTCAGAGCTTCTCTGCATGAGCCTATGAAATTACAGTGAGGAGTGACAGGAAAGGCTGAGCAAAAAGTCAATTACATCTGACAAGCTATCCAGCTAACGGCCCGGCACCGCAGGCCGCCACACTCAAATGTGTTTCCAGTTCATTTTGGTTCCCTCTCATACTCATGAATTAAATCAGTTTTATGACTGCTTTGGATTTTTGAATGATTTTGAGAAAATGAATCCATAACAGTGCGCAAGTCTTTGGGAGAAAGAGAATAAAGAGTGACAGAGAAGTTGAAACAGCACGAAGGAGGAAAAGAAATGCAATACTTTTTTAGGAGCAATGTTTTGACTTGGATCTTGTTCATGAATTCTCCGCCTTCCAGCTGTGTTGATACCAGCATACAGCGTTTGGTAATCATTATCCCTTGAATCATTTTTAATAAGGGGAAGTATACAGGGCATTTGCACCATGGTTCATGTGTGGGTGACATGTACCAGCTCCTTATCCCTCTTTGTAACATACTGTCCTACAAAAACAAAACGAGGACATGATGACCCCGTAGTCACATTATAGCAGGGCAGAGAGGGCCGGCATGTGTCTGCTTTGATTCATTTCTAAATGATGACAAACATCTTGGAGCAGACCAAAAACAGCACAGCAGAGCTAAGACAATAATCAGCTGCAGTGACCAGGCACATGGCCCTGGTTTCTCCAGGGCTTCTCTGGACTAAATGCAGCAGACTACAACTTAGTCAAATAGTAAAATCCCTAAAATGGGCTGCCATCTCTCGGCTCTTTGGCTCCAGGCTCCAGCTGAAAAAGTGGAACGCTGTCTGAATGAGGAACCTTGATTTAAAGTCCTGAGGCAAACTGTATCCTTGCCTAAAAACAACAGTTCCAAGCAAAGTCTCCTGGGCTGCTGTGCACAGCTGGTGGCTCCATTCGTCGCACTAATTCATACTTGCACTCAGTGAGCATTCAGAAAAGATGGCCCGCAGGTCAGCTTCAAACACATTTAACATCTTTATTGCGCAATAATTCTGGAATATTTTAAAATGTTTTTTAAGGAGGATACTCAGGGGCAAACATGACAGGCAGCTCCCTCCACGGCGCTGCATATTTTACTTCACCCTCGTCTGTTTATGGCCAATGTTAAAACAAAAATGGTTTATTAGGCTCCAAAATAAGGCACAGATTCATGATGCAGTCCAACTGAATTTATTTACAGTTTCAACACAATGTGCAGCAATATGCATAGTGAAAACCCAGGGAAAGTTCTATAAAACAATAAAATAAGACTTGCAAAATATTTTAATATTGAATAACTAAATGCAAACTAAATACACACACACACACACACACTCACATATGGAGAGACTGAGCTCTACTCAATGACACTCTAGGACCTGCAGCTCTGCATACTATCTGCTGATTTGCTCTCAATACTATGACTCCTAATGAAATGAAAATAAGATAAGTTGGTTTCTTGTAGTGGTTATTCTTAGTGAATGAGCATTCATAGAAGTTGTTTTGATTCTAAAATACCTCACACTGTCTTGTTTTTTACGTATGATACGTTTTTATTGAGTCTTACATGTTTGGAATTGTCTTTACATAGCTGTGGGACGAATTGCAAAAAAACAACAGTGGTTGACTTGTCCTCTCTCTTCTCTACGGGATGGAGAGATTCAAAAGATCTTATGTACCCACAGCTATCAGACTTCATTAATCTTTGATAAACAGATGACATGAGACTCCAGACAAAAAAATATTAATTAAGTTCTTGGGTTGTATTGTTGCGTCGGTTGTACTAACAACTAGAAGAAGTTGAATTTATGGTTTGATGAGCTCCCAAAACACAAAAGGATATTTCTAATGACCCTCCCTATTCTTTCCATTGTCTGCTTTACGATGAACTGCATTTCTAATTACATGATCCTCATCTAAACTTAGTGACTGAAGTGTTTTAAGTAGACTGACTGAAATCACAGTTCCTAAAGCTGGACTAACAAACTAAAATAATGCAGCTGAGACTGATTTCCACATGTACTTGTGCATTTCAGTCAGCCCAAACTGCCCTTAGAGTCCTGGACATGCTCGACAGTTTGCAGATCTTACTCTGGCCTTAAAGTGGAACAGCATACATGCCTAGAGAGGAGCTGGTAGTAAATGTGTGATACCACCTCTAGCCCAAGAGATAGTATGCTTCTCCATTCATACCAAAAGTAAAGCATGCGATATGACAGAGCCGTAGACTACCATTTAATGTAATGTTGCTGTGGAATGAAAAATATCTATCTCAAAAATCCTTTTTTTTTTTCTTTTTTTTTTAGGAGCATGAAACCCCCTTTTTTTTTCTCTCTCAAAAACTACCTTACAAAACCAACCCAAAACACTGTATTTAGACACAATTAGGACCTGAAATGAAATTCTATTTTTACAGAGTCAATCATGACTCCTTTAATTTTTTACCCAGACTTTTATACTTATTTGTTTCAGTGATACTGGACGTTCATGTGTTTTTTTAAATAGTGGCTCCATAGCTTTGGTTATTTACAAGCCTTGAGTACTCATGTCCCACTGTTGATATCAGGCTATCCCACAATTCCACATAGCACAGTAGTTGTCAACATTTTTGAGCTGCAATCCCCAATTTAACATGCACTGGTGTCTGTCTGGTATTTTGGTCTGGCGGAGCCCGGCGCACAGCCAGTTTAGTATTTTCGTGGACTGAGGCGCACCGAGGTTGCCAAGCTGAGCATGGATGCACGGTAAGAGGAGGTGTCGACAGAATCAGCTGGTGCAGTGACATTTTCGTGCTCGCCAGTGCCGTGTAAAGTGCGCTGAAAGCTCGCCGATTCAAATCTGGTCAGCTTTCAGCGCAGGCGGAGCACAGCTGGGGTCCGTTTCACGTAGCAGGTTTAATGGAAACTCAGAGTCTGTTAACCCTGAAATCAGGGAAACTCTGAGTTTTCTGTTTCACAAAGGAGGGTCAGTTAAACCAGAGAGAGAGGGGTAACTCTAACCTGTTTCACAAAGAGAGGTAACTCAACCTCGCGGTCAGTTACCATACTAACAGACTCCGTGAACCTAACCTGCTCGGGAGCAGGTTTAACTCAGTAAACCCAGAGTTTCAGGGGAGACATCGGCATTTTCTCATTTTGATCATGTTTTACATTGTCAAGTAAGTATTAAGTGGCAGTTTGATCCCTTAAAAAAATGCTCTTTTCACACTCAAAACTGAATTTTACTCTCTTATTATGTTCCGTTAAATGATTAGGAATATTAAACTAACACAGACTTTCACTAAGCAAACAGAAAGAGGGCAGATGCCAGAAAAACGGGTGGTGGGCCAGCAGCCCCACCTTTAACGGAGGCAGAGTAGCTGCCCCCCCCCCCCCCCCCCACACACACACACACCGGTCCCACGATCGCTGCTACGGGGGGGGGGGGGGGGGGATTTGCGATCGGACCGGCCGCGGAACATCATAAGAGAGTAAAATTCATTTTTGAGTGTGAAAAGAGCATTTTTTAAGGGATCAAACTGCCACTTAATACTTACTTGACAATGTAGAACATGATCAAAATGAGAAAAAGCAGATGTCTCACCTGTTTGCACAATGTTTTTAGATTTAATTTTCAGCTGCTGCCAAGTGCGTTTTTGTCCCGCTGGATTGCACCTACATAAAATAAATTAATTTGCTCCATGCACGCAGTTTCCCCTGCAACAGTCTGTCATTGTGATTGCACAAGTTTAGATTTAAAGTTACGCATGGACGCGAGCAGCAATTTCCTCCCATGCCCTCTCCCTCTCCTTTGCAGCTGCTACTGTATTGCACTTTCTTTTAAAAACGTGCTGTAATTCGCCGTTGGCTTGCTGCTGCCCCCTCCTTCTCCCTGTTTCCATTGGTTGATCAATGAATCTGGGCTCCACAGATGCTGGCTGTTTATGTCTGGCGTGCACGTGCTTAACTCCAGGTCAAACTACTCGGAGTTGCTAAAACTGTCTCAAATCAGGTATTGTGAAACCGGAAACTCAGAGTTTCCTATCTCAGAGTAGATCAACTCAGAGTTAAGGATTTGACTCAGAGTTTGTTGAACCACCTACGTGAAACGGACCCCTGGTCTAGAGGTATTTTGGTAGACCGGTGGCATATTACGCACACGTCAGCGATGCCGCACAGGCAGGTTTCCACAGTGTCAGGCACATTTCAGTGCAATAAATAATCAACAACAGCCAATATTCTGAGTCAGCACATACATTTAGATCTATATAGATATATTCTGATCTATATCTGATCTGATGAGCGTGTTTGGCACGCGTCTGGAAATGCAACCTGACGGAATCAACACAGCTGAAACCGCATTAAATTAAATTAAATATCTAGTAAATAAACACATATGATTAAGTTAATAAGATATGTCATTCGTCTCCCCGCTATTTCTATCTTCCTCTTCCTCTCATTTCTCGCACAGCTCGACCTGGACACGTCTCTGTGTCCTTTCCCCGTCCTGCTGCAGCTGCGGCTGAACAGATGATTTATTTTAGTGATCAGATGAGTTATCTACTTTAAGCCTACATACGAATATTATAATATTCAGTTTTGTGAGCCAAATTTATTTTATATGCCAACATATATGAAAGACAGAGCCAGGCCACGGAGCGCGATGCGTCATTTACACACAGATGGTTCCGATTTTTATGCCATTTTTGGAATTTATGATGTGATCTGTGCGCACAACCCACCTTTGTCACGTGAGGTTTGAATATATGCAACTTTATGTGATTTTTATTTGTTGAAAAGGGTGTTTGTCTTACCAGTGGGTCCAACCTTACACACACCAAATCCCTCTGTGCTTATATGAGAGCGTGTGGAGGACGCCCTCTGCAGCGTTTACAGTGACACTTGTTGAGGAGCTGCCTTCTGTCACCATCGTGTGGCATTGCTGTCTGCAGACATCTCTTGATCTCTTTGACTACTTCACGAAAATTGGAATACGCCTCGCCGGTGGCGGATTTAAAGGTGAGGAGAGGAGCGGTCCTGATGGGCAAAAACAGGTATCGGCTGTGTTAAACCCACTCCACGCCCTCTCTACGACTCACGCCACTGGGAGGAGCTGAGTTAGGGAGGGGGGATACTTACACCGGGCTGTGTCGCTCACCAAAATATCAAAATGTGCTTGGGAACGCCTTGTTGGCGAGGCACGAAAATAGAGCCCCAGGAGTTGGGGTGGAGGTGGGTTGCAGAGTGGTTGCAGCAGGCAGAGTAGGCAGGAGAGGCAGTTTGAATAGGGCACCATTTTGACATTAGCCAATAGGATGTGAAGAGGGTGATAACCTGAGCTGTCAGCTGACTCAGGGCTGGCTTAAGATCAGCTGACTGTAGCCTTCAGCTTGACTCTGTGACCTGCCTGAACTACCGCTATGCTTCATTTTAGTCTTTGTCTTTGGTGTGTTTCCCTGGAGATATATTCATGATCTGTGACTTTCACACAGAGCAGCTGCATGCTTGACCTCCCAGTCAGCTTTATTTGGTTTAGGAAACGGTGTAACATTACTCCACACATGTACCTATACACCTTACTTCAGCAGCTCCAGTGTTGGCAGATACAGGGTTTTAATGCTGCTCCTGCTTATCTTGCTTTTACTCTTTTAATGTGATGTCTCTTGTTTTTAACCAATAACCTTTTTATATTTCTTTACTTTACTGTAATTTTTATTTTTTTTATTTATTTGTAATTAAGATGTAGCCCTTGTGCCCTTGGTAAAGGGCACTACAAATAAAATGTTTAATACTACTACTACTACTACTAATAATAATAATAATAATAATAATAATAATACATTTTGTTATTATCATAATTATTGTTATTTTTATTGTTATCATTATTGTTGTTGTTGTTGTTGTTGATGATGTTCCTGGCATGTCTCACCTTCCTTCTAAAACCAAACAGTTTCTGAGGAACTTTGCTTTTATTGTCTTGTGTGCACAAAGCAATAATTTTGGATGGGGCTGTGGTAACTGCTCCATGGAGGCCCCTTATTCAGCACCACATCAAACCAGGAGAACCAAGACTTTATGGAGCTGGTTATGGAGCACATGGGCATCGTATCTAAGGAACAAAAGACAGCTCTTGCTTCATTTGTTTGCACAAAGTTATGAGTATGGCAAAGAAATTGTTTTTTAAATGCCATGCTACAATGTTAAAAACAGTAATAGACAGAAAAACAGAGAAAAAAATGTTTTTATGTTGTCTTGGAACTTTTTGTTATTCAGGAGCCATTTCACAACTCTTTGTAGGGTCAGTGTCATGTAAAATTATGGGATAAACATCCTACTGTATCATCTTAGTTTGTGTTTAACATAAAACAAGAAACTCATACAAGAGTGTATTTGTGCTAATACAATACATACAATATCTGTATGAAAGAAGGAAAGGATGAAGGTATTTTCTGTCATCTTATCATCCTCCTCCACTCAAAGCTTCAGTCTCCTCTTATCCTCAATGACTTCACAGATGGACAGAGTACACGCTGTATCCTCCTCACTCACAGTTTTCAAGGCTACATCATGTGTACTTTGAGAGGTTGGTCTGTTTATGTGCATGTCACGATGACATATTGGTTTATACAGTTAAAGCAGCCTGTAATCTGTCTTCTTTGTCAGCTTTTCTGATTAGCTGGCATGTTCATGACAAGTTTTGTGTGTTGATACCGGGTAGCTGTCTCAGAGCTCTTCAAGCATGCCTTTCTGGATGCTCCCAGAGTACATGTTTCCACATCAGAGTGTCATTTTTCATGACAAATATGTATTGCTAATAATTTTCAGTGCAGACTTATCTTTATGTTCTCACACCAGCTCACAAGACTGTGTTAGTAAGAGTGATGTGTTGTGATGTTACTGGGACTAACAAAGTGTGACTGTTGAACAGAACAAACAGATCAGGGCAGTAAGAGAACACAGGTATAACATGACTGCTCTGTGTGAGATCAATTACTTAGAGTACTGAGTATATTCAGTAATACTTTGTTTCTTGCCTTCAGTAATCACAGAGCCATAGACTCTCTAACTTTGATTTTAATGACAGGCTCAATGCAATGGAAAGCAGAGGGTCTGGGACTGTATGACAGAGAGATGCTAACAGCTAACAGTAGTTATTCACATCTGCTGTTTCTCTGACAACAGTTGTCTTTTTTCAGTCTTTATGGGTCGTCCTCTATTTTTTACACTCATGACTTTAACAATCCCTACCTTCTATTACTGTTATAAAGCCGATTGTGAAACTTTTTGCAATATTCTGTTTCAATTGTTCTAATTTCAACCCCCATTTTTTATACCGCAACTTCATAATTACACATTGTAATTATGGAGAGAAAATGTTATTGCAACTGGTGCCCTTCTGTGGTCCCCTGGCAGCTCCTCCTCTTCCCTCCCTCTCTGTTCCAGCAACCCCTGCCCACCTTGCTCCGTCCTCACTTGTATCATTTCAACCAGCAAACACAATGTTTGCAGGACTTCTACAACTAGGATAAAGTCACATAGTCCAGGACCCGAGGTTTAGCGGCGCTACAACACGCAGCAGGTCCCGTTTGACATAAAACACCTCTGTTACAGACATTTGGCTTACTTTGTTAAAGCGGTTTACTATCCAACAGAAAGATTACAGGGTCCGTAAGATCCTAGATCGTAAGTGTCCCCCAGACCCAGCTTTTTAGCTTTTGTCTGGTCTACCTCCTTTTTAAGCGCCTGTTATTCCGTCAGAGTCTCCAGAATTTACTTGGTTTTCTTGCTTTTGTCGACAGTCGTGGCCAAAGGAGGATTCAGAAAAATTTCTGTACTTTTTGGTTGGTTTCAGTGTCCGATGTTGTAGCACGCTAACTTTGCTTGGGCTCATGCACATTATTGGGGGACGTGGAGCGTGCCTCACATCACGAGGGAGCACCGTCTGCCTCACAACCAATCAGCACGAGGGAGCAGCATCTGCCTCACAACCAGTCAGGTTGGGGGAAGTGGAGAACGGCTTTGTTGACAGTCAGAAAGAGCGGGCCGCTCAAAAATTTAAAATGTTGACTACGCAGACACAACAAAAAACAGTGATATTGTGATATTCCCAAATGTCATCAATAACTAATAACTATTGACTGATATTAAAAGCTTTTTCGTGTATACACCACAAAAAAAGATGCTGTTTAAATGGATTCCTGCCTACTCCACCTCAAAGTCCCTAATCTCCTTGTGATTTTTCCCCAGTGTCTTTTGTTGGATTTTGACTTTTGAATTTTTCAGTTGGACATTTTAAAGTAATTTTTTTTTGCTTTTATTAAGTTCTTTTTTTAGAAATCCTTTTTCGTTTGTCTGCATTTTTGGGTTCTTTCATTTGTTTAACCCTTGCTTCATGACGCACACAACATGAAGTTTGCCTGGCTTTAACATTGAGGTGATATAGACGCAGTACATACTCTGTACCACTCTGAGGAAGACTCCCTCTCTCTGCCTTCATGATTGCTGTTCTAATTGTTTCTAATTGCTATTGTTGCCACTGTTCCAATCTGATAGTCATCACAGTTACAGCTGGAAAAACCTAATTACAGTTGGCATTTACCTCCAGAGGTGACCTGCAATTCAAAGCCAAACTACTGTTTTGTTATGTGACAGGGATGTGGAAGTGGATCAGACTCCCATTTGGATTGTTAAACTGAGACAGAACATTTGGAGGTTTACAGCAGAGAATAAAATCATTCTACAGTTCATCATCTCCTTTTTAATGCTCTTAACTATTGAACCATTAACAAAGACATTAACTGAAATAACAATTATTCAGTTCAGTTCAAAATAAAATGGAATTAAAAGTTAAAACCTGCGAAATGTCTAATTTCCTACCCCCTCAAATCATTTGGACCATTGTTCTGGTACTCGGCTTATCAGTAATCCGTGCTTCTTTAAATGTCCAATGTTAAACTTTGTAGTCTGAGATCATTGAGAAACTGTTGGATATTTTTTAATAATAAAAGCAAAAACCACAATAAGCCTGTGTGTCTTGAATTCAACTTAATGCATAGACCTGCATTTGAATCCAAAGTGTACCCCTGAGCTTAGCTACACCCGTTTTGCATTCAGAAAACTGAACGGCCCTACTTAAGGTGAATTTAAAACATAAGGTGATATATATTCAGTTTGGTTCTGTTTTCCAATAAGAAGAGATATAACTGGGACAGTCAGCCAGTACAATTAAAGTTTCGCTGTTGAGCTTTGAATGCATTACAGTTTAAATCGTATGAGTTTAAAACCATGTCATTTATCATATCTGTCATATCTGTCAGATAACACATAAAGCACCAGTATCTCTGTTTTATCTCACTACATCTACACACTCAGAAAAGAGTCAGGTTGACTTACACCTCCTGAAGTTCAAAAGCTCACACCTAAGGTCAGAACATGACTAAATTGTTGTAAGTCTTTCATTTTTATTCATACAGTTTGCTGTTTAGTAAAGTCCTCTCAGCCATCATCACCCAGCTCAATGTGCTTCCTCTTTGTTTACTACAATGCTGTAGTGTATAATTACCTGGGTAATTTATTCCCACAGAATGAGCTGTGATGAGGCTAAAAACTGCTGTTTACTCCAGCTAGAAGAGACAAAAAGGATGCATTACCGCTGTGCTACACCAGCTCCTCACTCAGAAAATCAAAACTCAGAAGCCTGGGTATTATGCAAAACGAAAATGCCTTTTTAGTCCTTGCAGCTGAATGAGAATAGCATGTGGCTCAACCTCATCTCAAAGTAACTTTGGAGCAACTTTTGTCCAAGGATCAAACCATCTCTGTCATTGCTTTCAACATGAACATGTAACTGTTATTGCCCGTTACTTATCAGTAGAGGACGTGTCATATTCACTTTTAAAGATTGTGGCGGTCGATGATCAGTTTGGAAGGCATGCTCCTGAAACAATGAGTGCTTGATTAATTGGCATAGAGATTTAGATTAGCCTAAAATAAATCTGGGAGGTTTCTGCAGATGGCAAGATCAACTTTAACATCAGCACTGCCAGCATTCCAATCCACCTACTGCTGAGCTCCAATAGCATTAGTGATGCTACAATGTCTTTTCTGGAAGGTGTTAGATGACTTATTCTTGTCTTTTTTTTAAATAATAATGGAGACATGGCAAAATAAGTGTTTAAAATACATATTTTTGATTTTTTTTTTAGCAAATTAATAATTTTAGTCGAAGGGTAAAATACATTTTCAAATTCAACAAATTCTAGAAACTGTTCAACAAATATTGTAATGATCACATCATATATTTACAACAACAAAATAACAGATTTCTCTACAATAATAATAAATTAAGAAGAACATATAAAGTGGCCTAATGCTGCGCTCTCTCGCCCACACAAATTTATACATCTTTACATTTATCGACAAGCTGTACGAACTGTTCTACAAACGATGAAATTATCAAATAATATATTTACAATCACCAAACACATGAGTAGTGCTAAGCAACCAGGAATGGCACTGCGCCTGAAGTGACAGCTGTCTACACTGTTTTATATGAGGGGGTAAAAATGACTCCTTGGCAGTTCTAGGAATAAATGGTTGTTTTTATTTGACTTTTTATCCCACACTCACCAAAATTCACTGAATGATTAATAAATCAATTTTTTGAAAAAGTCATTGACTTTAAGATGTAGGCTTTTTTTTTTTAACAGAAATACAAGCATTTGAAAACAGCAGGGGGTAAAAAATTACCCCCTTGGTGTTTCTAGTGTTAAAAGTGTTTAAACAACCTGTAGAATATTAAGGGTCTACCCTTAGAAACACAGTCATGTCATATCAAGCTTATCTATCCATTCAAAAACACTGTTTTGTTACAAAATGTCAAGAAAAAAGGATTCACAGTAGGATTGTGACAATATATTTTAACCTATGATTCTGGGAAAAAAATCATATTAGAATTTTCAATGTGATATTTAAGATAAGAACTTTATTCATCTCTGAGGAGAAATGTAATATTAATGTGTCATGTCCGCTAAATTTCCTTTTACTTCTGTTTAATCATTGGTTATGTTTCCTTCATTTTTGCATATTCATGTTTTATTTCATGTCATGTCTGTACTGTTTTATCTTGTAGTCCACTAACCCTTGTTTCTGTCTTCTAGATTTGTTCCTGTCTGGTCTGCCCTGTCCCTGTCTTGTCAAACCTGCAGCCTGATTGTCACTCCCCACCTGTTTCCCATCACCTTTTTTACCTCTTGTGTTTTACCCTGTGTGTCTCACTGTCTCGTCACCAGTTTGTTGCACTTCATAGTCTCGATCCAGCATTATTCATAGTCATTGTCACCTGTGTATTACCTTGTCTGCCTTTCTCGGACCTTGCCTTTTTGCCTTGTTTTTGGATACCTCTGCCTGACTTTACTGCCTTTTTTGCACCGACCTCTGCCTTAGCTCTAATAAACCCTGTCTGTTCGACAAAGTGATTTGGTGTCTTGCCATTGTGTGCTCCTTTCATTTCATGACAATATAGAATTTAAAATCCCAAATAATCTGTGTTACTAAACTCAAAATTGTCCAAACTGACAAAGTATTTCTTTTTTTGGATGGTTATCTTTCCTGGCATGATTTGTGCAGCAGTCATAGCCTTACACTCGGTAACATAAAACAAACACTTTGCATTAGTTTCCAAACAAAAGATTGATCGATAGAATAACTATTCATGGTGCTTCAATTCAAAAGATTTACTTACTTGCATCTTGGTTGATTTATTTCATGTGTTGTGCAAACATGCTTTTATTGTAAAATGATGTGTATGCTTCTTCCTGAAATCTTTTGGATGGCCGCTGGAGCAAGCAGGTACCTTTTTACTCAGTCTTCATTGCAGCTGCTTCTTGGACTTTTTGTTTTATGGCCAGCGGAAACAAGAATAAACCATTGTCACTGCTTGCTAAAGAATACTTACTCAAATGTTATGATGGAATTGTTTTTTTTTAAGCACATTGGCCCTCATTTAGCAAGCTTGCGTACGGCAGAAAACTTATGTACACCTTGCGTATTTAAGTTGCAACATGAGGATCGACATTTATCAATGCACGTGAGCGTACGCTACGACCAAATCTCAAGACAGGTCTGACATTGTGTACACAAGTTTGAGTCAGTGTGGATCTGCGGTGCAGCAAATGTCTGACTGAAAATAATTGATAAACTAACCTCAAACCTGTCACTAAGCACAATCACCCAGATTTCATTAAAGATTAAGACGTAAATAAAATAAAATGAATTTGTTATGTCCTTAGTGAATAGGCCTATTTGATAACTCTGCCCAGAAACACTGCCACAGAGCAGGAGCGCCATTTAAATATTGCGCACACACGCACATGCGCCACTGTGGAGCGCTGCGTTTGACTCCTAAAAGGCAGGTGTCTCTGTCTTGGCCCAGCAGCGGGGACGTTGTTGTTGTTCACTCCTGAAAGGGTGTGGGACATCATTTGGGCCAGTACAGTTTTGCACAATGTTGCACTGGAGAATGGAGTGCCGTTGGCTGTGCCGGTGCAACGTGAGGACCCGATGCCCGGAGAACAATAACGAGGAGAGACTCCACAAAGGTGCTGTACAGAGGAGACAGGACCTTATCCATGGATTCTGATGTAAAGTACAAGTTTAGAAAGTGCTCTTGCAATTTAATCAGTGATAAAAATCTAATAGAAATCCATAAGAAAGGGGCCTCGGGGGCAGCAACTCACCGTTTGGTGACATTAATAATTATTTTTGTTCAGCCTCTGTCAGACTCTCCAGTCTGCTCTACATTACAAAGACGCAACAAATTAAAACCTTAAACAACAGGAGCAACATACCCTATGTAATGGCAATAAAAATATGAGGCATGTATGAGAAATTAATTTATCATCAAGAGCAACTTATCGACTAATTGGCCACTTTCAGCTCGGAAAAGTTTCCTTTGTAATATTTCTCCTCTTTCATGTTTGACGTCATTGGGCGAGGCTTCTGAACCACGTATATTTAAGAGCATGACATGGTAATGATGATTGATTTCAGCCGCCGCATTTATCAAGACTTGATCATATGTACGCTGGGATTGGTCAGATATGAACCCTTTCATAAATCTCACGTGTCCTACCGTACTTTATATCCTGCGCTCAGTTCTACGCAAGATTGATAAATGAGGGCCATTATCTGTATTTTTTGAGCCAGTTATCCTCAGTTGTAAGTCCTAAGTTTACTTGGTGACATATGGTGATCATTCGCCAAGTCCTGAAGATAGAATCACTCCCCTGCCCTAAAAAACTCACCTCTATGTGTCGTCGGAGGACAAAACAACACAGCAGCATGCAGCACGTGATTATACACGTGTATTAATGTAAAGGCACGATAATGCACTGTTTTATCTTAGCCTACGTTCATCCTCACAGTGAACGAACTGGTGCTCGGCAGTTTGTGAATGACGCTACACACCTCCCTCCTCTGCCTGCCTCTAGTCATTCGGAAGTTGTTTGTTTCATTTACAGTCTGACTGATACATGTCGTTCACAGACTTACTGAAACATTTCATTCATTGACTGATACATGTCATTCAAAGACTGACTGATACATATCATTCATTCGCTGTGAGCAAACCACGAGACTCTGCCCGCCTGCTTGATTGCTGGCTGGCTGTGTGTTGTCTGGAAAGGTCTGGAGACTGAGGGGGCCAAAGCATCTTTTGAAGAACACCTTCCTCTTCTTTTTTGTCTAGGTAACCCCAAAAGGGCTTGGCAGAGTGCTTAGGGCAGGGGTCGGCAACCTTAAACACTCAAAGAGCCACTTGGACCAGTTTCCCACAGAAAAGAAAACACAGGGAGCCACAAAACCTCTTTGACATCTAAAATGAAGATAACATTGCATATATCTTTTTTTTTTACCTTTATACAAAGTATATAAAAAACTGTAGCGAGTTGCATTTATGAAATAAATGAACTATTTCGGCGAGTGTCTGTCTTCTTCTGTAGTTAAACCGCAAGATATCAAAATCTACCCGGATACAGCAATGCTGCTTTTTGATTGGCTGTTCAGTAGATATACTTTATTTGATTGGCTTGTGCGTGGCACGCAGCTTCTGAACTCTCGGAGGAACTCAGTTGATTTCCCCCAGTTCCATAGTTGAAGAAGTGCAACTTGGTGGACATCACCGTGTTCATTTAAATGCGTGAGAAATACAATGTGTGGTGTGTGAGCGTGTGAACCAGTGGGAATGCGTGTGTCATACGCTGAATGCGTGAGACTTGAGAGCCCTGTGCTCACGCATCATCGATGTACTCCCGTGCCATGCAAAACGGTCTTTGCAAATGTCGCACTGAAAGCCTTCCTTTTCGGTCTTGGTGAAGTTTTCCCACACCACTGATGTTTTAGGTCGGGATTTGGGTTGGGTTGTGTCCATGTTTTTCTCAGCCGCTGCCTCGGCCATGGCTGTTTCTTTTCTGTGCGTCCTGCTGATGTTTACACGCCGGTGTCCATGGACATATATAAAGACCCGACGAATCGATTATAGAATTTGTTGGCAACTGATTTTTTTCGTCACGACGAATCTACTTAATCGATTAGTTGTTGCAGCCTTAATAGTTTATTTAATGTTACAAGAGCATTATAATCTTTGAATTTAGAATTACAAAATAATAATAATAATAATAAAATAAAATAAAATGCAATTAAGTATTTATTATTTATTTTCCAAATCCATTGGGAGCCGCAGCTTAGGGAAGAAAGAGCCGCATGCGGCTCCAGAGCCGCGGGTTGCCGACCCCTGGCTTAGGGTCATTGTCTTGCTGCAAAACAAACTTGTGATCCACAAGTCTTAATCCAGATGGAACTGCATGATGCTGGAGGATGGAGTGGTACTGTTCCTTCTTCATGATACCCTTTACTTCAAACAAATCTCCTACTCCATCACCTGCGAAACATCCCCATACCATGGAACTACCACCTCCATGCTGAATTGTGGGTGTAACACGTGGTGCTTTCAGACATTCACCAGTTTGTCTGCAGACACTGACTCTGCGTTTTGAACCAAACAGTGCAAACTTGTTTCTAGTCATCATTAGTCCAATTTTTGTGAGCTTTTGCCCACTCATATCTCTTTTTCTTGTTCTGTGGATGAAGTAGTGTTTTTTTGCAGATACACAACCCTTCAGACCAGCCTTTCTCAAATGTCATTTCACGGTTGTCAGAGATACGGGTTTTGACCTTGTCATGTTGATTTTCTCCCTTATTTTTGGTGCTGTCTTTCGCCGATCTCTCTTACTGGTGACAATGCTATGTTTATCCTCTGCTTTTGTAGTAACTCTCTTTTGTCCAGGTCTTTTTCTATCATCATAACTTCCAGGTTCCTCTAGTCTCTTCAGAGTGTAGTGGACTCCTTTGTTAGACACCATTAGGCGTTTTGCAATTTTCTCTTTCTGTGTATCCTTCTTTCCTCAATGTACAAATCTGTACTTTTGTTTCTTTACTCAGTTGCTTCTTTCTCACCATTTCTGCGGTAGTTTGAACGCGGTTGAGATTTATTAAGATTTTTGTATGCAGACTCTCAAAAGCCAAAAACTTAAAGTGAATAATCCAACTGTGATTTGTTTTTTTGCTTTTGCACTGAAGTTGTGACTCTTGCAAATGTTTTCAACCCTAAAACTAATCCCTTATTTTCTCTTGCTGACATATATTTAGCGATGGTCTGTTAACATCAATGTATATCTAAAGGTAAATGGAGTAAATAATGTTACCATATTTGTGACATGTCCTCTGCCTCCTGAAATCCATAGTATTCTCCAGTCAGGGATGGGTACTTGTCTCTACTGGCATTCTCTAGTCAAAAAGATTCAGAAATAAGTGAGTGTTTATAAACAGTTAACATGCGTAGCTTATCGTGAATGTTTGTAAATTTAAACCATGCAACCATGAGAAAAAAATATGGTGGATAACTGACCGTTTGGCCCCTCTGGAGTTGGCCATTTCTTCCTGTTTATTTTAGGGACATAAAAAATGTCTCCACTACGGTAGGGTGGATGACAGTTTGAAACTCTTCCATGGCTGTTATGCAGTGAGTTTATGTGTCCACTACAGCACTCAGGCACTGCTGAAACACGTCCAACTCCTGGCACTATGAACATTCACTTGAGTGGCCATAGGCAGACAGTGCCCACAGCCACACCACCAAATCCCAGAGCACAGAGACTCTTCAGGCTCCACAGGCAGTTCTCCCTCCATAGCATTTTTCTCCTTCATTTCCTTCAGCTCTTCCTCTGTGGATTCTGGCTCAAACTGATAGGGTTACCTATCTAAAAGAAGCCACTCATAGTTGTTGTCCATCTCCATAAATGCATCCTTGTTGTCACTGTCAATGTCAGCTTTATATAGCAAATTTAAAAACAGCCAGTAGCCTACCAAAGTGCTTTACAGTAAAATAGCCACAAACTATAAAAACAATAAAAGCAAACAAAATATAAAAACATAAAACAACAATATAGATAAGCATAGCAAATAAATAAAACACCCAATAAAAGTAGCTCTACTTCCCCAAAAGCTAAAGTGAACAGGTGCGTCTTCAGAAGTGTTTTAAAGTGGAAAGGCTGTTAGCAGTGCGCACTGCCAGGGGTAAAGCGTTCCACAAAGTGGGAGCCACGACAGAAAATGCTCGATCTCCCCTGGATTTTAAAAAGGATTGAGGAATGTCTCAAACCACCTGATTTGCTGACCTCAGGGCTCTGGAGGGCCGGCGCAGTTTAACAAGGTCAGACACATATTCCGAGGCCAGCCCATTCAGAGACTGAAAAACAAATAAAAGAATCTTAAAATCAATCCTGTACCTAACAGGGAGCCAGTGAAGAGAGGCAAGCACTGGAGTTATGTGCTCTCATTCCTTAGTCCCAGTTAGGAGACCAGCTGCAGCATTCTGAATGAGCTGCAAGCGGTTGAGCTCTGACTTGCCAATGCCAACATACAGGAAATTACAGTGATCTAAACAAGATGTGATAAAAGCGTGAATAACCTTTTCAAGGTCCTTCTGGCTTAAATAGGATTTAACTTTGGCGAGAAGCCTCAGCTGAAAAAAAAAAAAAAAGTTGTCTCTTGTCTGCTTAAATGTTTACAGGTCGATGTGATCTTGCGTTTGACATCACCTAAAATCATGTATTTGTTGATGTGATTTTCCCCTGTAAATATGTAGTTAGAAATGCTCATCTGGGCTCATTTCCCGGCCAGCACTTAATAATAACAGTTATAAACTGACATACAAGATACACAAGAACTCTGATTGCATTCCCATGAAGTGATACTCATAAATTTTCTTCCTTGAGCTGAGAAACTCTGTGGTGAGTTGTGTTGTGTTTAGTCTCTTTGCTAAAGAAATAAAGGCAAAGCTAAAAAGATGTTTGGCGGCTAGTACTATGGCTGGGACCCTACATGTCCTGTTGATGAAGTTAGGTGCTGTTCTGAGCATTATTTGTGGCTATAGAGTGACTTTTTGGTTGGGTTCAAGTGTGGAGACCAACTGCTGTGTATTGCTATCATGTGGTCATTGCTAAAGTTGTTATAACTAGAGAAGCAAGCAGTCTGCAACATTTGTTTGACCGTAACTTAAATTTACACTGGAATATCCCTTTAAGGCATGTATGACTTTGATTATACTGCTCTCAAGTGTGATCAAGAATTGAAGTCACATGCGGCATTGGTTCTGCTCTCTGGGCTTTACCCCTTACAGTTATACCCCCCTTTGATAATAATGCTATCACGATATGACAGCATAAGATACGGTGTCAGAGAAACCTTGTTATCATGTGAATATGATGAATTGAGACTGATATATCATCTGGAAGCAAAGGCAGACAATTCTGCCAGATTGCTTTTTATTAGCTTGTTGTTTGATAACTTTTCCTGGCAATGCGAGCTCATGAATATGAGAGTGGGGCTTCCAGAAGAGCACTAAGGGAGAAGTGCATTCATTTTGCTGTTGAGTTCTATTATGTCAGAGTCCTTCTGCGGAGCCGCATACCCATCTATAGGACATTTAAAGACTCTGCCAGCTCTCAGATTGCCAAGTTAAAGCACTGAAACATTTCATATGGCCAAAAAAGTAACCCCCCGAAGGAAAACTGTGAATTACACTGCAGTGTTTATGATACTGCTCACACCACAACAGCGACACATTTTGATTGTTATACTTCTGGTCAACTCAGCTGCTGCAGGCATCTGTACATCTGAATCGTGGCACTGTTTCTTGTGTATGACTGGCTTCTTCCTCTGTTGTACTTTATTAACCAGAACAAGGAAAAAGACAGACAACATTATGTACTCAACACAGCTGTTTCATAGAAGTCTCTAAAAAACATTTCTTTATTGTTTGAGTCCTGTTTTAAACAGAGGGGGGTACTTGATGGGCTTTCTCTTGGCTTGCCTTTGGTCTTTTAGTCATTTATGTAAAATTTGGGAAACTAAAGCCTTTAACTTGAATTCTGCCCACAGACTGAGTGAAATATGTACATATGGGGCTCTATTTTGGTGCCTCGCCGAAGACGTGCCGCAAGCGCAGCGTCAATCAGATCCGCCGCGCTGACAAGGCGTTCCCAAGCACATTTTGGTATTTTGGTGAGCCGCGCAGCCTGGCGTAAGTATCCCCCCTCCCTAACTCAGCTCCTCCCGGCAGCATAAGTCATAGACGGGGAGGAGAGAGGGCATGGAGTCGGTTTAACACAGCCGAGACCTGTTTTCACCAATCACATAAGCTCCTCTCCTTGCCTTTAAATCCGCCACCGGCGAGGCGTATTACTATTTTCATGAAGTAGTCAAAGAGATCAAGAGATGTCTGAAGACAGTTATGCCACACGATGGCGACAGAGGGCAGCTGCTCAACAAGTGTCCTCCACACTCTCTCATATGAGCACAGATAGATTTGGTGTGCGTAATGTTGGACCCACTGGTAAGACAAACACCCTTTTCCACAAAAAAGACACTCACATAAAGTTGCATATATTCAAACCTCACGTGACAAAGGTGGGTTTAGCGCACAGATCACAACATAAACTCCAAAAATGGCATTAAAATCGGAACCATCTGTGCGTAAATGACGCATCGCGCTCCGTGGCCTGGCTCTTTCTTTCATAGATGTTGGCATATAAAATAAATTTGGCCCACAAAACTGAATATTATAATATCCGTATGTCGGCTTAAAGTAGATAACGCATCTGAGCACTGAAACAAATCAGCTGTTCAGCCGCAGCAGCAAGCAAGACGGACAGAGGACACGGAGACGTGTCCAGGTCGAGCTGTGCGAGAAATAAGAGGAAGAAAGAAAAGGAGGGAGACACATTACATATCTTGTTAACTTCATCATGTGTGTATATTTACTAGATATTTAATTTAATTTGATGCAGTTTCAGCTGTATTGATTCAGTCAGGTTGTGTGCCCAAACGCGTGCCAAACGCGCTCATCAGATCAGATATAGATCAGAATATATCGAAATAGATCTAAATGTATGTGCTGACTCAGATTAATAGTTGATGATGATTATTTATTGCACTGAAATGTGCCTGACACTGTGGAAACCTGCCGGTGAGGCATCAGTGACGTATGTCGATACGCCGCCGGTCTACCAAAATACTACTAGACCAGCTGCGTTCCGCCTTGCGCTGAAAGCTGACCAGGTTTGAATCGGCGAGCTTTCAGCGCACGTTACACGCCGGTGGCGAGCACGAAAATGTCACTGCGCCAGCTGATTCTGTCAACACCTCCCCCTGCCACGCCACCACGCCCAGCTTGGCGGATCTCGGCTCGCCTCCGTGCGACTCAGTCCACGAAAATACCAAACTCGCCTTACGCCGGGCTCCGCCAGACGAAAATACAACTGCGCGGGGCTCGCCGCCCTCCGCCGCCTCACCGGCGCGAACGAAAATAGAGCCCATGGTCTCATTGACATAACCCATCTGAAGAGGGGTTCTGAAGTCCAAGATGGTGGTGACCATATTGGGAATGCCGACTTAACATGTCTTTTGACCAATAAAGAAACAGGCAAACAGTTGGAAATGACACAACTCTGTAGTCTCTTGGCTGACAGTCCCCCTCTTCACCTTTTTGAGTAGGCTCCAAATGTCCCTTTATGCTAAATCAGGCCTGGTCCAGATCTTAGTTATGCTGCTATAGGGTCAGACTACACTGAGCACCTTTTCTTCCTACTCCATACTCCATCCTCTTTCATTGTGTCACTGGTGGTCTTGTTATCAGTACTCAATGTCTAACCTAAGTACCTAACTTTTTCATGTCTCAAAAGTGTAAAATCTGATCATAGGGATATACAGGTGGAACAGTGGGAAAAACACGAGGTAAAAAATGCAATGAGGAGCGGGATATAAGTGTATAAAGAGACTAACATCTAAATAAGGAGGAAAGTAAATAAACCCACAAAAGTAATGTCAAGCATAAATGGGATTTATACTGCTGTGCACAAAGTCGATTCAACAAATAAATAACTGTTAAATCCCCATCTATTGAACAAGTAACCCTACACTAATTGGAGTGGTATTAATGGGGATAAAAACTAAAGTTAAATGAATTTGCAACTCTGTCTAATTTTTGGCTTTGTAGAATCATATATTTCTCTCTTTTCCATTCTCCAGAAGGGCTCCAGTGTGTTATTATCCTTGGCTAAAAAAGCTGTGCTTTCTTCTGCTTATCCCACCGAGCTTTATCTCATTAAATGAGATTATTTCTGCTTCTAGGATAACATTGCCTCCCAGAAATGTTTGTACAACTCAAACTCCAATCTGCATTTATACCACTGAGCTGAGAGTCATGCACAGACAAAGGCTAAGAGTCTCAATGGTGCATGTGTTGTGTAGCCACCCAGCTTGAAGACAATCTATGCCCATTTCACTAAACCATTTCTAAAACTTTTTTTTTTTTTCTGAAAGCATGAGAACAGACAGGATCTCTTCTCATGCTTTAAGAAAAAATGGTGGTTGATAATCAGTGGTTTTTCATGGAAACCAGCATGTATACAGTGAACTGGTTGCTGGAAAGCTAAAGACCTTACTTACAGGTTTCACATAGATCTTTTCATAGTTGAGTCAGTGGACAGGGAGAGATGAGAGGGGAAAGACACTCTTTGGCAGCTGCTGAAGTAATGTGACATAAGGAGCTGGAGTGAGGAATGACAAAAGCACAGACATCAAAGTTGCCCTTTCTTTAATCTGTCAGCCTGGGACACCAATAAAAACATAGCTTTATGCAAGAAGCAGGGCTCATTAAAAATACTGCTCTCTGAGTACATATTATTATCCCTGTTGTGATTGTTCATAAAGCCGTGTAAAACTACATGATTATATTGTGGAGATGTGCTCTTCTTAGAGAGATGATGAGGATGACAAAACAGGCTGGCTGGTGTAATCAAAGAAACCATTCAAACAGGTATTACAGACATCAGTCCCTCAAGTGAAACACATGAATCCAGCAAAACAAAACATTACAAGGAATTTCTGTCTGTTTACAATATGTCCCAAATTTGGTCTCTGGGTGATCAGCAGCCTCTCAGTTTCCAACCTCATCAGTGACCTGACACAGTGGGGAATTTGTCTGAGAGGGTGAGAGCACAGACAAATGCAAAGAGATGGAGAGATGGAAAAACACCAAAACAAGCATGGCAAAGGAGCCTGAAGACCCCGCTTCACAGTTTTCTGTTTCATTCCTATTTCTATTCTCTCTCCATTGATATTTGTATGTTCAAGATCAAGTGTAATACTGTAATGACAGGAAAATCTCAGGGATACCCAAACTGAGGCTCCATCAAGACCTTTAAGACACAGATAAAAAGAGTTAGGGCCAAGACATTGCTATTCCTGACCTGTCTGAAAAACTCTGGAGGATCTGCCGCAAACAAAAAAGTCTGGCACATTTAAAACTCTGATACTCAAAGACAGAAACTGGTTCACCAAACACGAAACTACGCACTGCTTTTTTATCGTTTTGTTTTTGCATACAATCCTACTCAAACGCATGGCCCAGAACAGTAGAGCCAAGTGCTCTGGACAGAGTTTAGCTGTTCACCTTCACCTTTAGAGGATACAGGACTCTTCTTTGATGACAGTAAAGTTTGCATATGGCCAGGAAGACCGCTGGTTTGAGAAAAGTGTTGATGAAGTCATCTGTGTCAAACTGAAACCACCATTATTGAACATTGCTGGTGAACGAAGATATTTATGACTTTGTTTAGATCCCTTTACTAAACAATCCAAACACTTCCATCATGTGACCCGAAGTCTTATCACACACACCCTGAGAAAGCTCGGTCACTGACTCTTCCAAGATTCCCAGAAATGATTTAGATCATTACTATATTCATGGTCACAGAGGCTTTATATTTTTAGATCTGACTCCAGTCAACTTTCAGAACCAGAGACACCTGTTGGAGGAAAGGTGAAACGTCTTCCATAACTTTAACCGAATCTATTTGTCTCTTGGATCAAGCCTTGCCAAACCATGGTAGTTTCAGAAAGAGCTGACTTGCTTGATTAATGCACTGAGAGAAATAACTCACAAGATTTACCATCTTGTACATCTTGTTCTTGTACCATGTTCATTTAAATGCGTGAGAAATACAATGTGTGAGCGGGTGAGAATGCATGTGTCACACGCTGAATGCGTGAGACTTGAGAGCCCTGATACTGTATTTAAAGCAGAACGATAATAACTTACCTGCAAAATGACTGCCCTTAGTGCTACACCTTGCTTTGTGATCCTGTAACGTCCAGACTTGGAGCAGAGCCAGTCCTGTTGTAGGCTACAGTGCACGTGTGTCATGCATGGGTTTCAAAATGCTATACTTTCAGAGTAAAGCTTATGCAGTATTTGTAGGTTTATGTACATACAATTATTAAACATTTAAATAGTATAAGTAAACCTAAGTAAAACTTACTCTCTCCTATATTTTATGTTATACATTAAAAAAAAATATTTTTTTTTTTACTTAAGAAACTCTAGTTCTTACTGAATCTTAAAAATACAAGTGAGAAATTATGACAGTTACTCTGATAGAGTTTACTGCACCAAAAAGTCACTTTATTTCAGTGTGGGAATGGTTTTACCTTCATGTCAAAGTAAATCACTCCTATCAAGCCACCACAGCTTTGGAGACACCGTAATTCAGTTGGCTACAGAAAAACTGTATAGGGGCTTTTACCTCCACACATGGGGATTGCTAGACAGGAGTATGACATACTATGATACACATACATTACACATACAGTAAGTATGTAAGGCAGGTAACCCCCCCACCCCTTTTTTTTTCTTCTTTTTTTTTAATGGGACCCCTAAGTGTCTTTGCTCTGCCCCATCTGTCCTCAAAAGACTCCTTTGTTCTCATGGGGTTGGAAGATGGTCATCCTGGGGTGGCCAGTGGCCTTATATAAACCTGAAATTGCAAGCTGAACTAAACTAGACGGGCGCTTTTAAAAGAATTATACCTGACTGTTTTGACTTCCTCAGTGATTTCTCTTCTTTAAAAATATCAGGACAAATACAGCCACTTGTAGAACATCCATTAGATATGAAAGTGCTGTGACAGGTCAGTGGCTTTGGCACTGCAGGGGTGTGTCTAAATGACTGTGAAAATGTTCAAATGTGGGATGAAAGAGTTTGTCTGAGTCATCCGTTTAAATTAACGGCTGGGAAACGCTTCTGCTAAAATATCTGTCAAAACATTGCAAGGACACTTTTTCTCTGCATTTGCTTGAGTTAATAAATGAGTAAACAGGCAGAGATGAAAAACATGGATTATGCCAGCGTTTAAGACTGCCAAACATTTATTTATTTATTTATTTCATTTTATCTTACAACATTTTCTTTTGTAACTGCTGGAAAGCATATCAGGTTTTTAATCTCTGTTATAATTCCATTAAAAGGATTGGATTTTTTCGTGAAATTAAATCAGATACCAATCAAAATATAACCTCTGGATCCTCAATGTGCTTTATAAGAAGATCTACACAGATTTATTTGGTTCAAGCCTGAAGCTAAGAGTGCTCTGGAGCTCCATTTATAAACATAATATAGGCTGGCAAACTAAGATGAACTCTATGTAATGATTTATTCTTAATTCAAACTAATTGGTAGACTTAAGACAAATCTAATGAGCTTGTTATTCTTTTAGTAAGTGTATCTTTTTTCCACTTCTTTAAAATGGAGGCTATATGTAAATAATGTATCCAATCATCCTCAAGTTAAACTGAAAGAAGAAAGTGCATACAGCTCTATAAGAAAGAAGCAAATTATTTATTGCTTTCTTACCAACGGTAGATAAACAACCCAACTTTTGCCAACTTTGGTGCCTATAATTTTATGGGTTATGGATTAGATATGAAGCCTTTAGGTTTGGATAGTGTGTTTCTTTTTTTAAGGTCCGATAACTACATTTGAGCCGAGATAACAAATGAGTTATCTCGGAATAGGCAGCAATGACATCAGGTCTGTCCTCTGTGAAATGTAACCCTGTGTGTTGAGCCACAACTTCTTTTAACTAACATCAATCAGAATTGTAAATTAACCTCATAAAAGTCATTATTCAATAAAGTCGTTCACATCATAGATTGTATATAGAATGGATGCCATCTGACTCCACCATGAAGCCACCGTGAGAACAGCACCCTATGGTGACGGGCTGCAGTATAGGTCATAAATCCCGCCTCCTCCAGCAATCCCTATGGAGCTGTGGACAAACTCTAGAAATTAATTACACAGAATATACCCCCCCGGTTGCAAAGTTTACATGCAGCTACTGTAAGACTGGTTTGTGCTCAAGTCCTCTTTTTTCCGTGCAACTCCACCTGAAAAGTTATTAGGGGTTCATGTTTTCTATGATTGACATTTGATACAGCCTATGGGCATATGAACATTGTGTAGCTCACTTTTATTGGGGGATATACTGTTTGAGTAGAACGTCATCGCAGTGACTCTCAGCGACTCTCATCCGTTGAATGTGTGCAACACTACTGCACAAGTGGTGGTTCCAGGAAGTGGGGAAAATCACAGAAACAACAAGAGCAACTTGGCTTAAAATTTGTATCACCAAGGTGGAGCCAAGTTGTTCATAATAATAATAAATAATAATTATGCATCAGATTTCATATAGCATTTTATCAGAGACCCTCAAAGCACTTTACATTCATTCATTCACTCACAGTCACACCTTGGTGGGGGTAAACTACCTTAGTAGTCACAGCTGCCCTGGGTTGGCTGCCAGTTTGCACCTACAGCCTCTCCGACCACCACCACACAACACTCACTTAAGTGTCTCGTATATACAGACTATGGTTCACATACATATCCCCTGTGTGTGGAGTCAGGTCAGCATAAGCATTTAACTGTACTTTACACATGTAGGTAAAGAGGGGGAAAGTTCATGCTGAACGAGGCATGCCATAAACAGATGATGTAGAAGTTTGAAAAGTTGGCTTTTCAAAGCCCATCGATTCTTAAATTTGGGACACACTGAAGGTTAATAACCTGCTTATGGCCTGATAATACTGTCCCCTAAAGATAAGACCTAAATAAAGCCAAAACCTTTCGTTAGAGATATAACTTTTGGATCCTTTGGGCATTTGTGAATGCAGCAAGTGTTGTGGAACAAAAAAGGCAGGCTGAGGTTGCTTAAAGGAGGTGGTCTCAGCTGGCTCTGAATTAGACCCTGGAGCCAAAACCCAATCAGCAAGAACTGAAGCAAAAAGGTGTTTGACTCATTACACTTCAAGGATGGGTACACTAGTTTCAGACAAACTTGACTCACCATCTCCATCTAAATTAATTTCAGCAAAAGGGATGGTCCCGTAGAAACACCACAGGACTTGACAACATCTACTGGCTCTTCAACTACGTTCATCCTGATGGTTTTGTGCAGTTTATTGAACCATCAGGACTTTGTCCTTTTTATCAGTGGAACCTGCACTTTTGCTCAGCTGTTCTCATACCTTCACAGCTGTTGGAGTCCTTTTGACCTTCAGGTGACACTGTTGAGCAGAGCAATCAGACTCATACTTGTTTGTGCTTTGACTCATAATTTTGAACATTGCTGCATTTTTGTGAGCATTGTCACAAATGTACAAAATATATTCTGAGTAAATCAACTCATTTTGTTGGGAGGTTAATTGGCTAATGGTAGTTGGCATCTTGGAGCCAGCTTCCCAGTATGTAGTCATTTACCCTTGCAGTGGGGAAAAAGAGGCTGTGACTTAATAGCATGAGGACAGCCCTGTGATGGAGTGCTTTACAACACTGTTGTGTGAACATAAAAGGATCCAGGGGGAAATGTGCAAAAAAAAGAGTGTGAAAGCACTTTAGTAACAAGCTAGGGCTGCACTGATATCGGAGACTTGAAAGATCATTTGCTGAAACAACAACAAAAAAAAAAAGAAAGAAAGAAAGAAAGAAAAGCTATGACTTAGGATGGCGCTAAACCAATATCATAGTGTATTTACACAATAAAATATCACATTAGAACGAATAAAACTGGACTATATGGAATTATGTTAACATATTAGAGTAATTACTTTAAAGTCTGACTAACATACCATGATAACGTGGTTAAGGATTGTTTTTATCCTGCACGTATGCACCTTAATAGGACCCAAACCGGCATTCTCCACATGCTCCTCAGTTTGCACACTAGGCTTTGACCCTGAAAGTGAACAGCATATATGAGATAGAGGGAAGCCGGATAGTACACATAAACTTAACAAAAGAAGTAAGGATGTAAACAAAAATAGCCTCTGTATTGTAATAAGATAAAAACATACCAACATACTTTTTTGAGATTAACTTTATAACCGACTGATGAACCTAAGAGAGCTTCAGTCTGACTTCATAAAACAGTCAGACCCTGTTTCCAAAATTTGACTGTAACTGTTCATACTCACTGTTTAGAACATGGTTAGGGTCAGCAACAATGTTGTCTGCTAGCCTTGGCATATGTCTGTTGTAGGCTGATTCATATAGGCTCTGCAGGGGCTGACTATAAACTGTATAATACAAAATTTGGAAAATTGTGATAAACACAAGAATACAAGGATTTGCAAATCCTTTTCAACTTATATTCAATTGAATACACTACAAAGACAAGATATTTAATGTTCAAACTCATAAACTTTATTTATTAATTATTTTTTGCAAATAATACTTAACTCAGAATTTCATGACTGCAACACATGCCAAAGTAGTTGGGACAGGGGCGTGTTTACCACTGTGTTACATCACCTTTCCTTTTAACAACACTCAAACGTTTGGGAATTGAGGAGACTAATTGTTGAAGCTTTGAAGGTGGAATTCTTTCCCATTCTTGCTTGATGTACAGCCTTAGTTGTTAAACAGTCCGGAGTCTCCGTTGTCACATTTTACGCTTCATAATGCGCCACACATTTTCAATGGCAGACAGGTCTGGACTGCAAGCAGGCCAGTCGAGTACCCGCACTCTTTTACTACGAAGCCACGCTGTTGTAACACGTGCAGAATGTGGCTTGGCATTGTCTTGCTCAAATAAACAGGAGCGTTCATGAAAAAGACATTTCTTGGATGGCAGCATATGTTGCTCCAAAACCTTTATGTACCTTTCAGCATTAATGTTGCCTTCACAGATGTGTGAGTTACCCATGCCTCGGGCACTAATGCACCCCCATACCATCACAGATGCTGGCTTTTGAACTTTGCGGCGATAACAGTCCGGATGGTTCTTTTCCTCTTTGGCCCGGAGGACACAACGTCCACTATTTCCAAAAACAATTTGAAATGTGGACTCGTCAGACCACAGAACACTTTTCCACTTTGCATCAATCCATCTTAGATGAGCTTGGGCCCAGAGAAGCCAGCGGAATTTCTGGATGTTGTTGATAAATGGCTTTTGCTTTGCACAGTAGAGTTTTAACTTGCACTTACAGATGAAGTGACGAACTGTATTTACTGACAGTGGTTTTCCTGAGCCCATGTGGTGATATCCTTTACACATTGATGTCAGTTTTTGATACAGTGCTGCCTGAGGGATCGAAGGTCACAGGCATTCAATGTTGGTTTCCGGCCGTGCCGCTTACATGCAGTGATTTCTCCAGATTCTCTGAACCTTTTGATGATATTATGGACCATAGATGTTGAAATCCCTAAATTCCTTGCAATTGTTCTTTGGGAAACGTTCTTAAACTGTTCGACTATTTGCTCACGCAGTTGTTCACAAAGTGGTGAACCTCACCCCATCCTTGCTTGTGAATGACTGAGAATTTTTGGGGAAGCTGCTTTTATACCCAATCATGGCACCCACCTGTTCCCAATTAACCTGCTCACCTGTGAGATGTTCCAAATACGTGTGTGATTAGCATTCCTCGAATTTCTCAGTATTTTTTGCCACCTTTCCCAACTTCATCATGTGTTGCTGCGATCAAAGTCTAAAGTTAATGATTATTTGCAAAAAAAAAGTTTATCAGTCTGAACATTAAATATTTTTACTTTGTAGTATACTTAATTGAATATGGGTTAAAAAGAAGTTGCAAATCATTGTATTCTGTTTTTATTTACAATTTACACATCTTCCCAACTTCATTAGAATTGTGTTTTGTACTATGGACAACCTTGCTCCACCTTCACTCATTTAGTCCTTGAGCCAAGAACCAAAATTTCACATATCGGTACCACCTGGGTGGGCAAATTCTAGTTGTGATGTTTTTATTGCTATACATCCCTACAATAAGTTTTTATATGATAGACCTTGGTAACTGGTAGCTTTATTGTAGTTATCACTCATTAAAGTAATAGAGTGCAGCTGTTCAAAAATGAAAAATCGCCTTCCTTCAAAATTAGCTTTCTTTCATTTTAACCTGTCATTTAGGTGTGTTTGAACTATTGGCTAGCCATAGAGACTTGTAATAACCCCCTAAGTAGTATTTCAAGTAATTTATCTAATACAGGTGTGTATATATAAGCTTCAATTAGCCAATCGCCAGGTCTAAATCAAGGTCTAAATTAAGGATATTTTTTGACATAGAAGTAGAAGTAAAGTAAATGCAGACTAATAGCATTATAATAACACAACCTTAATATGACACTGACATATTTTCAATGCAGGCACTCAATAAACAATCATCCTGGCTGGTGCAGGGCAAGAAGACATTAGCAACAAAATAAGATCTACTGATGTATACACTCTATACAATCATCTGAGAAAAACTCAAATTCCTATTCAAAGTCCTATTCTTTCCATAAGGAACAGTGACAGCAAATATGACTGTCAAGTTTTGGCTTAGTACATAATACTGTCACTGAGTCACAGTGGGTCTGTTAACATAGCTCCTTTTGGTCATCACTTATTAATCAACATCAGTAATCGACATCAGTATCTGTATCTTCTTCTACATCTGAGTCTGCCGGGTGTGCAAGGGGCTCTTCCTCACTGTACTGGTTGGCACAAGTTTGTAATTTGCACAGGTTTTTGCACTTTAGCCCATTGCTGAGACAGGTGCAGTCTGGTGGTTTGCATGTCCTCACACACTTGCAGGATAGCAACTGCAAAACCGCATCTGGTGCATTAATAGGCAATCCTGACATGGTGGAAGCTGGCTGGACTCAACTTTAGCCAAGGTCCTGCATGAAGGTGGTGATAGTGAAAGGATTGATGTTGTCTGTGACGTTTACAAGGACATGTCAATCAAAAATTCAGAAAGACTAAACAGAGGTGCAGACATGGGGATCCAGTTCAGAAACATCGTTTCTGGCCACAATATTCAGCAGTGGAGGAAACTTCTCTTCAGCCCTGCCAACAAAGCCAGTCTCATCAAGTTCTTGGTGGAGGAATGGAGTTTTTCTCAGATGATTGTATACACTGTGTGCACAATTATTAGGCAAGTTGTATTTTTGAGGATACATTTTATTTTGGAACAACTGCAGTGCTCTCAGTCAATCCAAAATGTTAATAAACCTCAAACCTTAATATTTAAGGGAGTAAAAGTGAGATTTTGGCTTTCTTGGGAGAATATCTATGTGTGCACAATTATTGGGGGCAGCTATTAGTGTGCAGAATTATTATGCAACTAAATTAAAAATGAAAAATTTTCCATCTCACTTGTTTATTTTCACTTGTTAAAGTGAGAATGATAAACAAACAACTCAATTTACAAATAAAAATTGTTGAAATTAAAAAAAAAAAATCAGTGACCAATATAGCCACCCTTCTTTTCATTAACAGTCATAAGCTTTCCATTCATGGAGTCTTTCAGTTTCTTGATCTGTTGACGATCAACTTTTTGTGTTGCAGCAACCAAAGCCTCCCAGACACTGTTCCAGACACTGTTTAGAGAGGTGTACTGTCTTCCTTCACTGTAAATTTCCCGTTTAAGAAGGGCTCACAAGTTCTCAACAGGGTTTAGGTCAGGTGAAGAAGGAGGCCACGTCATTATTCTTTCGTTTTTAAGGCCTTTACTGGCGAGCCACATAGTGGAGTACTTTGTTGCATGCAATGGAGCATTGTCCTGCATAAAAATCATGGTTTTCTTGAAAGATGCAGACTTTTGCCTGTACCACTGCTTGAAGAAAGTGTCTTCTCAAAACTGGCTTTGGATTTGGGAGTTGATTTTAAGTCCATCTTCAACTCCAAAAGGTCCAGCTAGCTCATCTTTAATAATACCAGCCCATACCAGTACCCCGCCTCCACCTTGCTTGGGTCTGATTCGAAGTGGAGCTCTGTGCCCATTACTGATCCAGCCACAGGTCCATCCATCTGGTCCGTCAAGAGTCACTCTCATCCCATCAGTCCGTAAAACCTTTGAAAAATCTCTCTTCAGATATTTCTTGGCCCAGTCTTGACGTTTCAACTTGTGTCTTGTTCAGTGGTGGTCAGATTTCAGCCTTCCTTACCTTGGCCATGTCTCTGAGCACTGAACACCTTGTACTTCTGGGCACTCCAGGTAGGTTGCAGTTCTGGAATATGACAGCACCGGAGGATAAGCGGTTCCTGGTAGCTTTACGTTTGAGTCTTCTCAAATCTGTGGCAGTTAATTTGCGTCTTTTTTTCTTAACACATTTCTTGCGACCCTGTTGACTATTTGCATCAAAATGTTTGCTGGTTCTGTGATCACACCCAAATATCTAAGCAATTTCAAGAGTGCTGCATCCCTCTGAAAGACTTTTTACAATTTTTGACTTTTCAGAGTCATTTAAATCTCTTTTTTGGCCCATTTTACCTGAGGAAAAGAAGCTGCCTAATAATTATGCACACCTTGATATAGGGTTTTGATCTCCTTAGGCCCCAGCCTCCCTCATTACACTAATACACATTACCTGATATGCTTATATCCAATAAACATTCAAGTTTATACAGCTTGGAGTTGGAAAATATGCATAAAAATGATGATATGATCAAAATACTCACTTGCCTAATAATTGTGCACACAGCGTAGAGTGTATACATCAGTAGATCTTATTTTGTATTTAAAATATGTCAGTGTCATATTATATTTGTGTCATTATAATGCTATTAGTCTGCATTTACTTTACTTCTACTTCTAAGTCAAAAAATATCCTTTAGTTAGACCTTGATTTAGACCTGACGATTGGCTAATTGAAGCTTATATATACACACCTGTATTAGATAAATTACTTGAAATACTACTTAGGGGGTTATTACAAGTCTATATGGCTAGCCAATAGTTCAAACACACCTAAATGAGAGGTTAAAATGAAAGAAAGCTAATTTTGAAGGAAGGCGATTTTTTGTTTTTGAACAGCTGCACTCTATTACTTCAATGAGTGATAACTACAATAAAGCTACCAGTTACCAAGGTCTATCATATAAAAACTTATTGTAGGGATGTTTAGCAATAAAAAAAAATCACAACTAGAATTTGCCCACCCAGGTGGTACCGATATGTGAAATCTTGGTTCTTGGCTCAAGTGCTATGATACCTGAAAGAACTGCTCCACCATCAAATTGGGCCACACCCACTTCATCAACTCATTTAATTAGACACAGGTTTGATTCATTTATAGAAAAGAGCAGTGTGACCCAAAAAGAGTGTGACTTTTAATGTGCTTTTGACTTTCTGTGTTGCTTTTGGAGTTAACAAAAATTCGCCTATTGAGGAAAATAACAAAATGAGAAAAAATATAAAAAGCTACCCCTATGAAAAGTCTATCATATTTTAATTTACTTATATTGACCCTAAAAACAATTTAGTATATGTAAGGTTTTGCCCACCCAAGTGGTACCGACATCTGGTCCGGCTCAAGGACTAATTATACAAATTTGAAGCCGAATAGCTCTCAGTATTTCCAGGATTTTTTTCCACTTCCTGTAACCACCATTTGCACAGAAGCGTTGTACATATTTGGCAGGAAATTTGCTTTGGTGACGCTCGGCTAAAACAGCGTGTCCTTCGGGTGAGCTACGCAATCTTCGTACACCCATAGGCTGTATCAAGTGTCAATCGTAGAAAACATGAACCCCCTAATAACTTTTTAAAATGGAGGTGTGCAGAAAAAAGAGGACTTGAGCACAAACCAGTCTTACAGTGACAACATTGTCAACATCTCAACTGGGGAGAAAAATCAGTATTCTGTGTAATAAATTTCTAAAGTTTGTCAACCCGTCTATAGGGCTTGCAGGCAGGATTTATGATCTATACTGCAGCCCATCACCATAGGATGCTGTTCTTGCAGTGGCTTCACCCAGCGAGGAGGCAGACAGCGTCCATTCTATGTACCGTCTATGGGGCTGACCTTTAGTCTTTAAACAGATTTGCATCTGATGGAGCAGTTTGGACTTTAAAGGAGTGGACAGACACAGTTACCATCAAAAGTCAATTCTCAGTTTTGTCTTTTCATTGATTAAATCAATGTGATCTTTCCAGGATGACAAATGGGTGATCATTACTCCCAAATCCAGCAGTAAAGAGCATTTGATGTACTTGATCAAACAGCTGTGGGTTGAAGGCGCATATTGCACCTGCTACCATAGCAGAAGTCAAGACACTTTAGTGAACAACCCAAAGATTTTTGGTGCGTGTAGACAGGGGACAAAGATGTGAGCCAAATTACAAAGTATAATTGTACAGTAATTGAAGCTCAGCCTAACTTTGCAGTTTCACCAATATAAGTATTTGTGCACTGACATCCTGGAGCCATTCAGAGCTAAAACTATAGTTTCATTAGATTCAAATGTGCAATAAAAGAGAATTATGTCCATTGAAAGTGTTATGACATTAGATTTTTAACTTTGCACTGTACATGAAGTGACTGTTCCTTTACACTGCATACATACCTGTTCTTCATTCTGCCCTGTCCCAAAGTGGTAAAACAAATCACTGACTGAATGCTAAATCATGACGCTAATGACAAATTGATCCTTGTTTAAAACAAACAAAAAAAAAAACAGCTGCCCAGCTTCTAAACTTTATTTCAAGCTAGTTTTATGGCTAATGATTTCACAGAAGTAATTGGGAAGTCGTGAAAAAAGCAGGATAGATGTGGTACTCACGCAGGAGTGATGATTGATGCAAAAGTCTGACTTGGTAAGGAAAAAAAACAAAAGTGCCACTCCATCCCCACAGAAAATAAATCAGATTTAGTAGCTGCATAAAGGCTAATGACTAAACTTGATTATGTATGCTGACAAAGTGTGCATGCTCCATAAAGTGGGCTCTTGAGATCTGCACCAGGAGCCTGACACAAATAAAGGTTATATAGTAAATATGGTAATATAGTATGAAGTCAATGGTGCAGGTCATGGGAAAATAGTATCAGTAGATGAGGATATAGTGTTTGAAGAATGGAGATAACTTGATGTATGCATTTGGTTTGATCTAATATGCAGACAACACAAATCAAAACAAGTCCAAAATTCAACTACTTTTTAAGCCAGTTATGTCAAGTGGAAGTGTCTCCTCTGCAGATGAAGACATAAACACAGCTTTGTAAATTAAAGCCAATTAAAAAAAGGACATTTGAACTGCCACAATGGAGAGATGAGTCTGCAAGGCAGAAGCAAGAACACAGCCTGAGCAGCCTCATCATCACAAAACTGTGTGAATAACTGTCAACCTCCCCTGATATAGTGACATGTTGAAGCTATTCTTTGTAGTGCACAGTCAACAAACATCTGCTGAATGGCTTTTCAGCACAGTCAGACAGAGAGGGAAAGATGGATGAAAAATAGGGAGGCAGACAGAGATGGAGAAACTGATGAGGTGGGAGGCTTTTGTCTCCTCTCTGTGCACAAAAATCTGGGCCTGATGGTACTGTGAAGGTGCTCAGCACTGGCTCTTTCTAAGTCCACAAAGCACAGAGCTCTGCTGAGGTTTCACTGAATTGTGAAGAGCAGAATCGTGACTGTTAGCTGTGAGTGGCACAACTCTTTGTCATGCTGCAAGAGGAGGTCTAACACAAGGTTAGAAAAGCAATGAATTATGACCAGAAATAATAATGGATCAGAAGTTGACAGAAATTGGAGGCATTCTCATAGTGCAGAGAATGATGCCTGCGCCTTGGTTATATGCTATTTGCTTCCTCCCTTTCATTTCCCATTTAGCCAATTAAAGTCAGAAGAAAGTCTGGTTTTACTTTTGGTTGTAGTCGTAGACTGTATATACTATGGACAACTTGGTTCCGCCTACCCCCTGTATCCGGATTTGAAGCCAAATAGCTCTCGGTATTTCCGGGATTTTTCTTCATTTCCTGAAACCAGCGCTGCGCAGTAGCAATTCACGCATTCGGCCGCGCAGTGGCAGAGAGTCGCTGTGATGGCGCTCGGCTCTCCCCTGGGAGAACTACGCAATCCCTGAACGCCCATAGGCTGTATCAGGTGTCAATCATAGCAAACATGACCCCCCTAATAACTTTTAAAAATGGAGCTTCACAGAAAAAAGAGGACTTGAGCACAAACCAGTCTTACAGTAACTACATGTCAACATCACAAGCAGAGGGGAGAAAAATTTATGTTCTGTGTAATAAATTTCTAAAGTTTGTCCACAGCTCCATAAGCTTTGCTGGCGGAGGCGGGATTTATGACCTAGACTGCAGCCTGTCAACAGAGGGTGCTGTTCTCGGAGTGGCTTCACCCAGCGAGGAGGCAGACTCTGTCCATTCTATATACAGTCTATGGTTATAGTTAATTGGGAACATGAACAAAAAAGCTCTGAAAACCAGGGGGTAACTACTGAGTGCACATCACGAGGCAGAGAAATCCCAGACAGAGCCAGTCACGGCCCCTAGTGCAGGTAGACCCCCCACCGAGGAAACACTGGAGAAACGGAATAAAAACATAAACTACATCGGTTAAAAATATCAAACTAAATAAAATAATAAAATACAGATAAAAAGCTAAAATATAATTTTTGAAAAAGTAAATAAATAGAATAAATATGATGTAATGTAAAATGAGGATTAAAATATATAAATAAAATAAAGTACGATAAAAATATAGATAAGAATAAGATAACCTCATTCATTAGAATCTCAGGGTCCACAAGAGTTCATATCGTAAAAGCAATTCTGAAAGATAAGAGGGTCCAAGACCCCTAAGACATTTAAAAACCAATAAAAGGACCTTAAAATTGATCCTAAAGCACACAGGGAGCCAATGCAGTGATTCAAAAACCGGTGTAATATGTGCCCGCCTTCTGGTCCTCTTCAGCATACGTTCTGCTGAGTTTTTCAATAGTTGTAAACTTGCAATGTTTCTTTCTTGGAAGACCAGAACGCAGGGTGTTACAATAGTTAAGACGAGTTGAGATAAAAGCATGCATTAGAGACTTAAAGTCAGCTCAGAGTCAAAGATGATGCCCAGATTCTTTCTTGGTCACTCAAACACAATCACTGCTTAGCAGCTGCCCCTTAGGCCAAGATGACCTACACTGTAAAAAAAAAATTCCGTGAAATTAACAGGGAATTACTGTAAATTCATGACATCAAGAAAATGTAAATGGGAAAATAATTTTGCACTTTTTAAATTTACAGTAATATTCCGCAAAATACTGAACCAAGCACAACTGTTAATTTAAGGGTATTAATATGTAAAAATAATCATACTTGTTTGAATAATTTACAGATTACTGTAGGTTAAACAGAAAAAAACATAATGCATTAAGCAATTTAATACAGGAAAATTTACAATATGAGGGTGTTGAAATCATGGTTTTGCTTTCCTATTTCCAGAAATAAAGATTATTACATTTTACAAATTCATGTGTTGTAATATACAGATGAGAATATGTATAAAAACAGTAAAGTTATGTTAAGATATTTTAAAAACAAGGTCCGGTATTGACCTTTATTGCCCATCCATTCATGAAAGGTTACATTAGCCATAATATTAGGAGACGACACATTTGGAAAATCAAAAGTTATTTTATCTGTTGCTCACAAGAAACAAAAATTAAACATGACAATTTTCAACCAACTTTGTGAATTTTAAAGTGAAGAAATATTATCTCAGTCCTGTAAATAGGCAATTAGCAGTTATTACTTTGTTTTTGACTGATGTTAATCACATGTAAATGATCAGAATTGTGTTTTGTTTTCATCAATTAATAATGTATGATTTTCAACATACATTTTACATTCCCGCAAAAAATAAACAGCTGCGCTTTGATTTAGAACTCTGCCACCTGAATTCGGGATTTCATTGGACATGTACTTTTGCGGAAGGAGCTTCCCACTGCTGTCGAGTGGAGGAGCTGTATACGAACTGTGTGACCAGAACGGAGCAGACGCTTTAAAACATTTTATGGTCCAGACCAACTTCTACAGGTGATTGACAGGATTTGCTCAGGTAATTTTGAGTCTTTCTATGTTGCTGACCATTTGGCAGTATTATTGAAGTAATGCAGACAGACCGTCAGTTAGTGTTGGTTTCATGCTAAGTTAGCAGTAGAGTAGCGCCATCCAAAAAAATACATATCCATAAAATATGGATATCCATAAAATATACAGGCTGTTCTGTAATGGTATTTACATTTGTCCTGTATTTTTGACAGAGTTTCTCTGGCAAGCACAGCTGCCAGTTTTCTTTTTTTTTTCTGTCAAAACTACAGGATTTTTTTTACAGTGTAGGTCATGAAAAGCCTGTCTAAGTTTGTCTTAATTAATACTTATCTCATTAAAAACAGAATGTAGTCTGAGTATTCCCACAAAAGTTGTTTTTGTATCGTGCATCACATATAATAATAATAATAATAATAATAATAATAATAATAATAATAATAATAATAATTATTATTATTATTATTATTATTATTATTATTATTACTATTATTATTATTACTATTATTATTATTATTATCATTACTATTATTATTTATTTATTAAGGTAGGCTCTTTGGTCAAGTTGTTTTTGTTTATCTCTCTATAATACCCCTCACCATGGCAAATAAAAAGATAGTCAGTAATTTTGATTTTTTTTTTACCAAACTAGTCCTACTGCATTAGTCTAATTACAACTGGAGATGCATGTAAAAATGTTAGTCCAACCACAGGTGCCCCGTCACTAGTTTAAAGGGATATTCCAGCGCAAGTTAAAGTCATGGTCAAATACAACATAACGCAGAGTTTAACACCCCCTTGAGAAGTGAATGTTGCCGACCACTTGCTTCTCTAGTTATACCAACTTTGGTAACACAGGGGTCTACACCTCCACCCACAAACCTCATCCACAAAGCCACTCTATAGCCACAAATAACGCTCAGAACGGCATTTGACCTCTGACCAATGGACAAAGGTACAGGATGGGAGGAGGGGTGGTCGCCCCCGTTACTGTACCAACTACAGTGGCACAACACCACAACGCCAAACTGGGTCATGGGGGAGTAGGAATTTTTGGGGGATGGACTGCACACCTCCAGTCCTGTATTTTAAGGGGACATGTCCCCTACCCCCAACCTAACCAGCCTGTGCTCCCTCACATCCCCATCCTACCAGACCTGAACCCCTCCTTTTCACTGCTGCCATATGTCCCCATCCTCAGTCCAGATTTTGGGGACCTCAGTCATGGTCTTATGCATCTGTTCTATGCCAGGGAAACCCTGCCCGTACCCAGGGGGGATTTCCTCAGTGCACCTATGACCAACAAAACAAACAGCAGAGCAGACCTCTTCCTGCTCAAGGGACCCAAAAAAACACCAATTAATGACTCACAATTCAGACAAATGGTTCGAAAATTACACAGAGTCATTAAAATGGTGCACCATCTGCAGAATGTGACCCCAGGACCTGAAAAGCAGGATCTGAACATGATATCCTGTATGGTGGATACCATGGCAATCATGATCAAACCAGCCAGATGGAGCTGGACAAAGACTTCCTTCAATTCTTGGAGGGAAGCCCACCTTTTCCCCCAAAACCTAAAACCTCCAGACCAAAATGACACATCAATACAGACAGGAAAATGACGGACTGGAGCTTGAATGTGACCAAAAAAAATGGCTTTTTATTGGTGCCTTCAACTTGGCCAGACTGCCAATTCATTCCTTTCCAGATTTGCAGATAGATAGCTATTCAGGAGCTAACTTAGGCATGCACAGGCTATTTTGTCCAACACCACAAGTGAGGTGACAGTGTAGAAAATACTGCTCTTATTTGGCTCGAATGGCCGAAAGCAAAAATTTAAAGAAACTGCTGTTGAACAGCTGCAAGCAGCAGCAGTTAGCTAAGCAAAGACTCAGTTCCCATACTTAGAGATTTAGTTTCCATACATTGAGATTTGGATCCCAAAGGTCAATTATTTTCCATTTTTTAAAGAGACAAAAACAATTAAATCTGCAAACACTGAATGCATACATATTTAGGAACATGCCATACATTGAGTCTCTGGATAGGGACAAATTTCAAACAGAGAAAGACCACTTACACTGCAGCTCCACCCATATGCAGCGCCACGCCTGGAGTGATGGCCATCTCGTCCAGTGTGAGTACATATTCCCTTTCCATTTTGTTCATTCCCTCTGCCTTTAGCTTTAACATTTTGAACACCTCCATCAACACTCCAGGCTCCATCTTAACATGCTGCATCCTCCGTTGTGTAGTCCTAATGTCAGGTAGGGGGATTTTCATTTTTTGCAATGTTTTGTAGCCTGTTGTGCCAGCAGTAAATCGAATTTGTATGGCTTTTTTCAGGGTCTGATTGCTCCAGCATATCCCTCTCGTCTTCTCTCTTCCTAATGACTGAATTTGGTCTGTGTTAAAAATTGATTTGAACTTTTTTTGAATTAAACTGTTCTTCTTTCTTAAACCCAAATTTATTTGCTTTTGTTGTTTAAGAGCCCTCTCCGTTCTCTTTCTTTGGAGTGTCTCAATCCTCAATTGCTCTCTTAGGTCATCAACAGTCACCCTGTCATCACTGGTCCCTGGATCGCTTGCCCCTGTCACAGTGGCTTCTTCACTTGCTGCCCCTGACTGACTGTCCCTTGGAGCTTCGAGGACCTCACCAACTGTGGGCTGCCTACTCCTATTTGCTCTGCCTCAGTTTCTGCCTTATTCTCTGTAATAATGACATGGTATTGTTTCAGTTAACACTTTCTGGTCACACAGGGCAAGCAACGCATGTCTGTGTGTTTATGCTCGCTGGTGTAACAACACGCTGGAAGCAAATTGTTGCTTACCACTACAGCGGTAATTCGACAGACGGCTCAGTTTATCAGCCCATCATTATTGCCATCGTAGAAGCTGCAGCATCTGTAGGGCTTCATGCTATAAACATCACCAGTGACATGGGGAGTCCCAATCGGGCAATGTGGAAGTCATTTGGGGTGACCCAGGATAAGCCATGGATACCCCATCCTGTTGAGCATCCGAGGAGGAGCAGCGACCACAATCCTACCTTGTGACATCATTGTTTTTGGAGAAGGTGGACCACTGGTTTGACCTCATGTCTTCCTGGAATGTTGTTACTGCTCTCAGCCTGTTCAAAATGGAGGAGTATGAGAAAGCCATCCACTTTCTCCAGGACAGCATCCACCTGTTCGGGGACTGAAGATCGGTCACCTGGGCAGCTGGAAACCAGTCCAGACAGGACTTGTGATAGCCACTAGAGTGATCCTGGAAGTCCAGCAAGACCTGTTGAGCAAAGGGCACAAATTTGTTCTCACAAGTCGGTTTACACAGGACTGCCTGGAGAACACCTTTTCTTTCATTCGTCAGAGGAACCCTGTCCCAACACCAGCAGAGTTCCACTACGTGCTGCGAGCTGTCACTGTTGGACAGTTCCTCACCACAGTACCTACCGGCAATTACTTAGATGACGGATCTGACCATTTGGCAGACTTCCTGGATTCAAAGAGAAGCAACTGCAGTCCTCCTCCAGTGGTGCGTCTGGAGCAGCTGGATGACCCAGCATCACCACCTGACTTCACAAAAATAGAGTCCTGTGTCCTCTACCACCTGGCAAGATACATTGTGAAGAGGGTCATCAGCTGGTCACTTTGTGAGGAATGCCAGAGCTCCCTAACAGAAAGTGAAAATGCGAGTGAGAGAGATGTTCTTCTCAGATTGAAGGAGTTTAAAAGGGGGGCACTATACCGGCCATCTGATGAGGTTTTCACTCTCATTCAGAGTGTGGAGCAGCTGTTCCAGGCGACCTCAGTTGACTCACTCATGGAATCAACCAATGCAGTGGCAAAGCTGGAACAAGCGGCAATGAAACTTGACAGCAACCTTCCCTCATGCCATGAGCTTCAGAAAAAAATTCTCACCAGATACATCCGACTGAGGTTGAGAATTGTCTCCAAGTTCATCTCGGCTGCAAAAAAGAAAGACACACAGAGAGGATGCTTTAGAAGCAAGAGCCAAAGCAAAAGGGGAAAAAAAGAAACCAGGTACCTCTACTGCAACAATGGCAATGTCATCTAGGCCACTGCCAAGCCCCTTACTGGTTGCCGTGGACGTATTCGGGCTTTCCACCCCTTCTCCATCACCAGCAGACTCCAGTGGTCCCTCGCTGCAGCAGCTGCGACCAGCCGCTGGCAGCAGCCACCAGCCAACGGTGTCCACCCCTAGCCAACGCCAGCTGCGGCTGTCAGGGGCAGCAGCAGGAGGAGGTGAACCTAGAGAACAACCTAAAAATGTCAACCTCATGTCAGTTTGTGTTAACAGAGTAGGATAATAATTTACATTTCTATTTGCAGGTCAAGGAGAAGGTGGATTTATCCTGATCTCATCCACCATCAGCAGACCCCAGTGGTCCTGTGCCACAGCCAGGTGCAAGCGGCAGCAGCAACCGCAAGCAGCCGAATCCAACGGAGCAGTGTTCATTGGCCTCCTCTTTATTATTAAAAGTTCAAATAGATTAGATTTAATTAAAGGATGTTACAGTTGTTACTTTTCATAAAAGAAAATAATACAATAAGGTGGTAAGTAACAGGTGTTACAAGCTGTTGAAACAATTGTGCAATGTTTTGGTCTTGCAGCATGGCCTGCATAACATTTTTCCATGTTAAACATACGCCTTAAATGCTGACAGAATTTAAAAAGTAGCAGTCCTTTTACTCTATCATCCCATGGTATACATAAGCAGAAATCAAATTACATAGCACTTATGTGAGTCTACAAAGAATAAATTCCACATAACACTGCGTTCTGATAAAGGCTGAAATCTAAAATAAAGCCCAGAAGTAACCATCTCAACATATGATTGATGATGATGATTTATCAGTGATTCAAAACTCAGTCACACAATAAATTTTGGCAGGCCTCTACAGCTGACGACGTCCAACTAGCAGACCGTGGCTAAAAAAAATAAATCCCAATTCCTAACTAAAAAATCTGTAAATACATTTGTAATTACAATTTGAGCATACTAAAATTAAAATCATTTTACATATAAAGGGGTCCCTCGATACCATTTACACACGTATTGGCATTAAATTCGTTGATACAATATTTTACCTCAGGGAGTGTGGGAGCGAGCCGTGGCTATAAAAATCGATCCCAATTCCTGACTAAAACAACGTAATTACATTTGGGATATACATTTTTACATACAAAGGGGTCCCCTCGATATCAATAACACACTTATTGGCATTAAACTTGTTGATATTTTATCATTTTACCTCGGTGAGTGTCTGCCTTGTGGCCATAGAAGCAAACGGTGTCCGACGTGACAGGAAGACATGTTGGAACTATTGAGAGTTCCATAACCCAGAAGTGGGGTCCACCGGGCTGTACAGCGTATGCCTATGGGAGTGTCGCCACTCTGTTTTAATCCACTGCTCTGGTTTCACCCTCAGAGACCACCAGGGGTCCATGTTGAGACATTTTCAATTGTTTTTTTTTTGTTTGTTTGTTTGTTTTGGGTTTTTTTTTTGCCATAGACACAGTCAGAACAATCTGCAGTAGTACTAACAAAAATGCAGCAAAAAACAAAGAATTATGGAAAAATTGCAAATGGACTGACTGACGATCTACACGTTTTTTACATCATGTTTTACATCATGCATCATTTACATCATGTTTTTTTTGTAGTGGCATAAATAAAATGTGACATTTCTGAGACTATAAAGTGTTTTCTAAATATTTTACAAAATATGCCTAAGCCATTGCCTGCATTTTGATGTAAATATAGGTAAATTACTATGTTATTTGTTAAAAATTTGCATATGTTTTGAAGTTTACTATTTTTATTTGCAGTTTAAGTTTTGAAAACGGTTCGTCACACATATTTGTGGTTTTCACAGTAAAAAAATTTACTTTTTTCCACTCGGATATATGTTTTGTGTGTGAATTTGGGTCCATTGTGTTGTGTTAAACAGTATGTCAAAATGATAAAATAACTGTAAATTCACACAGGTGAGGTTGTGCTGAAAAACATGATACCAAGCAAGGCAAGGTAAACATTTTTTAAGAGGAAATATAAAGGTAAAATCAAAAGTAGTCAAAAACGGCCGATAGTGACTCCCAGACTCCATAGATTAAACTTAAAAGCCCCTTAAGCCATCAGACGGAGGGGCTACAGCCCCTTTCGTCACAGAATGTGACAAGCGGCTGCTGGAAGAGAGTAGGTGAGTTGTGTTTAGTCTCTTTGCTAAAGAAATGAGGCAAAGCTAAAAAGATATTTGGTGGCTAGTACTGTGGCTGTGACCCTATATGTACTGTTGATGAAGTTAGGTGCTGTTCTGAGCATTATTTAAGGCTATAGAGTAGCTTTTTTGGTGGAGGTGTGTGTGTAGAAATGTAGACCACTGTGTAATGCTATCATGCGATCATTACTAAAGTTGGTATAACTAGAGGAGCAAGCGGTTGGCAACGTTCATCTCTCGAGGAGGTGTCTAACTCGATGTTATGGGGTGTTTGACCATAACTAAAATTTACTCCGGAATATTCCTTCAAGCGTTTAAAATGACAACATTAAGACCATCAGTCCAGTCACGCATTGTCTTATTTGCTTTTGTTAATCACAGAAAGACAACAATATGAATTTCAGTCTATCTAATAAACAAAAAGAAATTCCTCACTGGAGCTTTAGAAGTCATAAAAAATATATATTCAGCTCCCCTGTAGTTCTTGCACTGACTGTACAGAGATGGCCACATGCAAACTAAAACCCCTGCACCATCCAAGTCGCCCCACACTGACCTATTCATTCGGAGAGTAACAGTTTACTCAGAGAATTACTTGCATGAAAAAAAGAAGTCTTGTCTTCGGTGTCGATACACAACATCTGCTCCACAGAGTTAACATGCCTCTTGTGACAACACATCCTCACATTCACTCTTTCCAGTTTTCACGCTGTTCCAGTGATGGTGAAAAGCTTACTGCCTGCTCTCTGACTGATCTGCTAGTTTTATGACAGAAGAGCAAATGAAACCACGAAAGTGCAGCTTTTCTCAGCTCTATGTCAAAAATACTGAAACATTTTCTATTTTTGAGGCTCTGCTTGTCAAGACAGTTTGCATTCATCCTCAGCCAAAAACAAGACCATATATAGCTTTGTTCACAGGATGGACTTTTCTCAGAGTTTAATTACCAGTGATGAAAAAGTTCTCCGTTCTCATGTCCTCTACACATCCACCTTTATTTTCTGACTCTTCTCTTTCCTCAGCCTCAGACTGACTTCACTTTTTCTGTCTCAGTTATGCCACCCCTCCATCCATCACCGCTCTTGTCTCCAGCTGTTGCTGGCTCAGCAGATTCACAAATGCCTCTATATATCCCTTTGTTAAAGACACTCAGACACTTCACAGACAGCTGAAAACTGACTCACTCACTGTGTTTGGGTCTGTGAAGCTGGACAGATTGAGATAGGGGGCCAGGAGTTCAAAGCAGAGTTGGCTGAATCATATCGGAGTGTATTTTTATTTGATGGATAAAAAGGGAAGAGTATTAAAGTTATTTTTTTACTTTAATTTCTAACTCTCAATAACAAGTAATTACAACAGTAGCAGAACTGGCCAAACTGATACGACAGGAATCAGGATGTGGATATGTGCTTTGTCATGAAAGGTTTGCAGCTGGTTTTACCCTTGGTTCAACAATGGGGGTATAAAAAAAATCAAAACTTCCATGAAGATCATTAAAACATAAAACTTGAAGAAACTCTGAGATCCAGTAACTATCATGTGTCAGTGTATAGACCAACAAAAAAAGATCAATCAGAAAAGACTGTGTGCTTTTAAAAGTATGGAGTGTGTGAAGACGTGGTGGGGAAGGACGGTAAAGTGTGTTTGACTCAAGGAGGATTATTTTGAAGTTGCTGTTTCCTGTTTCTAAGATGACACACCTTGTATGTGGCAAACCAACACTTTAAGAAAGCTTCACTCCTTGATTTCTTGTAAGGTTTGTCTCCAGGTGCCTCAGGGTTGTTCCCACCAAACCAGATTCAGGTCTCTGGAGATGGGGAGCAGATTATGCCTTTCCCCTTAAATCCCTGCAGTGCATTCTTCATCCCTGGTGTCAGAGTCCAGACTGGACCCACACAACTCTAAAACAACACCCCTTTGACAACCAGCTCATGCTACAAGCCTCGTAACTTTGGTGTCCCAGCAGTCTTAAGCCCCTGTGATTGTAAGAAAAGTAAACCAGCTTACCCTAACACTAAGAATGGGGCACAGGTGTTTGACCACTATGGTCTAATGGCTTTTAACATTCAAAAACACTGTATTTTTAACAGTTAAATGTCACAAACTTTATATTTTTGATGTAAAAAAAAGTTTCTTATAAAGCTTTTTTATTCTTCTGACAAAATGTGAAGAGTCCATTTTTTTTCCAAGTGGTAATGTCTTAAATCAACTTTTAGATGGATACTGCAGATTCACAATAACCTGACAAGGCTCCTCCACCTTTATCCATCCCTGCAGCAGATTTCTTTTTCTCTGTTTCTATAGCTAAATCAACTAACCCTGAAAACACAGAATGACTCAGGCCTGACTAATTAATGTCAAACTAAGTCAAGGATTATAGCAAGCATTTTTGAAAAAGACTCTAATTATGAACACTTGAATATTAATTGCAGTGTAAAAGCTTAAACTAACTGTGAATATCACTTATGACGAAAAAAAGTCTGTCCTTGGCTTTGAATAAAATAGTTACCTGGTTTGCTCACAGTGTTATTGTGCACCTCGAGGCTCATCTGTCAGACACACACCACAGCCTGCTCACTTGTGGTAATATATGATAAATGTTCCAAGTCTTGTGTTAAAAGTATCATCATGTGTCATTTTATGACTGTTGAGACTGTAGGTAAAGCATTTAGCCCTGCACAGTTAACGTTTCCCTCTAATTGTGACCTTGGTATACTGAATCCAAACTTTTTCTACAAAATGCCCTTCCCCCTGCTGTTCCTCACACAACATGGCCCCCGGTCAGATAACCATACGGTTTGTCAGGCAGGTTAAAGCGACCGCCTCTGGAGAACCACAAAGTATTTAACTAACAATGTGACCCTGCTCTGCTGGCCATAAGGTTTTCAGAGCAGCTAGTGTTGTCATCTGCCAGGGGACGGTGCACCCACCAAGCCAGCATCTGGCCCTCTGACGCACACAAAGACCCACATATTGTTCACGCTCCCTCCCACATGGCCATAGATCTTCATTACCATGTTGCATTAAATGCATGTCTAATATATGGTTTTGTGTAGAAACACTTTTTCATTATGATTCATAGCAGCGATGGTGGAGCTGTGGGTTTAAGAAAGAGTTCAGGGCTGAGTCACATAATCCCTGAAGGGCAGTTTGAAACTTTTTTGTATACAGACTTCATCAAGGTTAATCCCTGAAGGGCAACAACATTCACACCTTTCTAAGAGGTATTATATGCATTGTGCCAGTAAGTGTGTGACT